TAATAACCCTTCACCCTCCTATAATCTATAAAACCAACAAAATTCCTGATTCCTTTTTAACTCACAAGTCAATACTACTCCATGTCCATTGAGTGAGCAAAGAAATATGCAAATTAATACCTGCCTACACACATCTACATTCAAACAATTATTACTCATAACCAACATGACCATTTCAAAGAGGTGTAATAACGGATCTGCAGTGACTGAGTCGCCATCGATGTTCCTTCTTCCATCTTAGTCCTAAACAGTCTCATGGTGTCATTCAACACAGAGTTTGATTCAAACATTCACACCATTTATTAGAAGCACATTTGTCTCATGTTTGTTTGAGCATTTTTAGATTATCTCTGTAATTTTACCCTCCCTTACGTTCAATAAACAGTCTTAGTAGCTGATTATTTCCAGCTTAACGCATCAGTTGTGAGGTTTGAAACTCTTCCAGATCGCAGAATCTAAGCGGTGAGAATGGATGAATGATGAATATCCAAACTTATAAATGATCAGGATGGCTTTCTGCAGCTTTCATGCCGATTTCATAAACTTCAACACATAACCTGTTCACTGATAAAACCAGGTATGTAATATCAGTGAACAGTAAAGAATAAATTAAGCTTTATTGTTCAGAAAATGTCTTGCTTTCCATAGAATTGCAATGCTTCTAGATCACTTTTTGGAGAATGTTTGATGTGAGAAATTTGTTTCATTTACTCATTCCACCTGTACCCCATCTTATTTCATTTCCTGCCTATGTCTCCTTTATAATCTCCTAATTACATTAACTTTTTTCATATTTAAGGCTGTTTTGTTAAAACCAGTTTTTTAGCTTCTTCATCTCTGAGGTGAAATTATCCAGGAGCTGCTCTAAGATCCCACCTGTATAGGATATGCATAGATATACGTATAGATATATATACAGAAGAGCTATATGTGTATATATTTTATCTATTTTTATTCTTATTTTTTATCTTATTATATTTTATAGTTGGATGTGTGTATATATCATGTAAAACTGTAACTGGAGCATGTAACAAAAGTAATTTCCCTCTGGGATTATTAAAGTATTTCTGATTCTGATTCTGAAATACTTTTTTAATCTGCCAATAACAAAATACATTTGAATACTTGCGTATGTCATTTATGTAGAGTCGGTCATTGTCCTGTTGGTTTGTAGTTTTTTGACCCACATGCAGATTCAAATGGAGAACTGGTGAATTTTAATGTCTTATTTACAAAAGCAACAAGACTCTGGAAGCGGAGAACTGCAGGAAGCCAGATGAAATGAAGTTTTTGTGTTCAAGGCTTATTCTTTAAATGTTTTCTTTCATCTGCTGAGTCTGCTGTGTAATTTGTAGAAAGATATTGTAATGTTACGTTCAGACGGAAAGCGTTTTCAGCAGCAACAAAAACTTCTGCTGCTTAATTTCTGATGTTTGTCCACATTATGGTCAAATGTCCAGTAAAGTGTGTCCAGATGTGTCAGATGCTTCTGCTGCTCCTGTGTTCAATGGCAGAGAGCGGCTTTGCTATATTTGCTGTGATCGGTGGGTAAAAATAAGTTTTAATATATTTAAAGGGATAGTCCACCTGAAAACACCGTCTGGGCAGTCAGTTAATCCAGATTACCATCCTGCCTTTAAATATTAGTTTACTGTCGGAGCCGCTTAGACACCCACATACCGGCGGTGCGCTGTCACTGGGAATCCTCAGCAGCAGCTGCCTCAGGCCTGATCGCCTCCTGGGGGTTTTCCCCTACTGTTAGTGGCAGTTGGAAGTAGATGTTAGCATTTTTCAGGTATGTGGTACAAACTGCAGGCACTAGGATAATAAAAATGAACATACTTTGCAGGCAGGTTTCATTTTAAGTTAATTTAGGCGTTAATAAACCGTTTCAGAGGAGTGATCATAGCGATCTGCATCAGCAGTGCTGTGTCTGTCTCCCTGCCAGCTCCCAGATCAGCTTCTCTGAATGGTTGATGTGGTGCGTCGAGCAGCAAAAGTTTAATTTTTCCAACTCCATCATCTGCTGATTGTGAAGTGCGTCACGCACCTCAGATGCTCAGAAGCTCATGAGGCGCTGCTCCTGCTGCTCCTGCTGCTGTAGAGGTGCTGCAGGACCATTTGATGTGCGACAACCATTGACTTTGCCTGTAAACCTGCTGCTTGTGCTGCTTCAGTAGCGTGCAGTCTGAACATGGCATTATACTGTAGGTTTTATAAATAAAAAAATAATGAAATGTTTGTTATGATCATGGGTAGTAAGTAGATCAGTTACTCAGTACTTTTTATCAAATAGCTTTCTTTTTTTTTTACTTTACTTGAATAAAATATGATGTAGTGGTGCTTCTCTTCCTTCAGTACCATTTTTGGATACTCTAACTACCTCTGGAGGCAGTAACTGTACCTGTCCCAATACTGACCCCTGAGGGACACCACAAGTAATATCCGAGCATGATAATTGATAATCAACCAGTTTCACATGGTGTTGCTTTCTATTTAAGTAGCTCTTCATCTACTCCAGAAACACCACCTCCATATTTTAGTTCTGTTTTATTTATTTATTTATTTATTTATTTTTAATTTTTTTTTTTTTTTTTTATTATTTTTTTAAGTGTTTCAGTCTGCTAATAAAGAGTTTTTTTGTCCCAAATTCCAGGAAAACTGTTAAAGTAAAGAAAAAAGCCTATAGTTTGTAAACTGGTGTCCATATAATTATTTTTATTTGTTTTGTTTAACGGTACAATCCTTTTTTTATTGTCTGTTTCAGTTTTACAAACAGCAAAAACAGTAGTATTCTGATTATGTGATTTCCCTTTGTAATCAAAAAAGTATTTTTTTGAAGTTTGAAATTGAATTACAGATCCAAATACAATATAGCTTCAGAACAGGTACACCAAACCCCAGCGCCACTGAGCCCCAGTAGATGGATGTATACAATTCAGACTGAATTAAAAACAAATAAGTATGACTAGATCAAAATAAATAGGTATAAACAGTTCTAATACTCAATCAATAAAGGATCTCAGATATCTGAGTTGGTAGGTAAACCATAAATCAATGAAAAATGAATAGATAAATTAGTTGTAATATACGTACACATACATGCAAAAAAAAAAAAACAACACTGGTTCAGCATTGATCAGACGTCTTGTGCTATTAGGAGAGAAAGGGATTCCAGGTTTCTGAAATAAGCCATCCTTTCTGACCAGAGTCAGTCTACTTTTTTTCAAATTGGAAAAAATCATGCTAAGCATTTCCTTAACCTAGTAGACAGGTGGACTGAGTATTTCCATTTTAGCCATATCAACCTCCTGACTAGAAGAGTTGTGAGTGCCACTAAATCCCCTTTAAAGGAAGAGGGAAAGGCAATACACCAAACTGAATAGAAAATAAGAATAACAGAGCAAGCTTATGTAACGCATGCCGGTTACATCACCAGAAAATGTCGCACAATTACCTCCGACCCCTTGTTGGAAAGGTCTGAGCCTCTAGTTACCAAAGATGCTGGCCACTATAGGGGGCGTGGCTAAAAATGAATACCTGCCGTTGCATTACTACAGTAGAGTCACACATTTTGAATTTTCAATCTCATTTTATTTGTTTACACAGCTAGAAAACAAAAAGTACTTGCGAAAAAATAATTTAAAACAATTTTAAGAAATTTTAAAGCCCCATTTAAAAGGCGTGTGGATGAAACACCATATGACTGTGTTTTGGCCCTTTCTATAGATAGATAAACATGAGCAGGTGCCAGCTGGGCCCGGGCTTAAGAGGTAAAGGCTTTGGAAGCCACATCCCTTCCAATTACCTTGGATAAAGAGCTAAATATTTCACATACTAGCCAGAGGAAAGAAGCTAACAAACATATGTGAGTAATTTGTTGTGGCTTGTTGGCATCGGTCACATAATATAGACAATTTATTAAACATTTTATAACCGTACAATTCTTGCAGTTTTCATTTTGTTTGCAAACTAACATGTTTGGAAAGACAGGTTAAAGATATCAGTCAGTGGTTTAACAATGCATCCATAGCTCTTCTGGCTGGTTTCATTTCAATGTCATCACAGCCAGTGTACTTTTCTTTTTTCTTTTACTTTTATTAAAGACAGCTATGATCTCTGCCTCTTCCAATGCTGTGAGAAACTATAAGTTTACATTTTTCTTTTTGTTATAAGTGCCTCATGTCGACTCTGATGTCACAGGATCAGGATTTTTTCCTGGCAGATTTGGGACAGTTTACAATATAACTGTTAGATTTTTCAACCATTCACATCATCAATAATTATATGTATGCTCATAAAGTATTGTGGATAATTAATTTATTTGACTTGTTTCCTGATAACATTACTTCATATGTTCCATTTGTTTTAAATTGTTCTTTTTTCTCATATATTAGTTTATCATAATATTTCTGTTTAGATGTCCTTTAAATATTTGTTAATTTGTTCTTCTATATTTTGTTTTATTTGTATTTGCAGCAGGAGGCTGCTTCATCCAGCAGCTATAGACGTATGGTTTCTGAGTATTTGTGTAAATTATGTGTTGCCTTCCATCTTAATCATTCATTGTGTTCTACATATTGAATCCCACTCAAATAGATTGAAGGATGTGATTTGAAAAAGTAAAACTGTTGGGAAAATTTAGGCCTACGCAATACAGAATGAGTTGAACTTTATTGAATCTGCATGGTCACTGAAATAAAATTTAAAAACATAGTTGTATCTGATAACAGGTTTATTTTCGTTCTACTTCCCTGAGTTTAATTCAAACATAAATCCAATACAATTTGGATCAAAATCCAATTTCATTTATATTAAATCAGTCCCAGATATTTACTTATAAATTTGCCTTAAGTTTTAAACATGTTCGTTTACAGGTTAGAGCTTTATATCTGTGTGTTTTTTTTAAATGTGTTAAATCAATTTGCTTTAGAAGTGGAAACAGAAAAGGTGCAGTGTTAAACTACCTCACTAGAGGGCGCTAACACAATGCTGCAGGTAATTTATAACAACTTGGGAAAGGAGGAGGCCATTCAATAGCCTGTTTTAGCTACTGTTAGCTAGCCGGCGGCTAACGAGCGGGCTAAAACACCAGTTTTGGCTGAATGTCGCCTGTCCTGAAATAGTAATGGCAAAAGAAAAGTGTTCACAAATCGAAGCGGGTGAGTTCCGAGCGTCCGTTTGATTTGCTATAAATAACTGAACATTTCCAGAGTTTGGAGTTGTGGACATCAGCTGGTGATCCTGGCAACCGAGCGAAGCCAGACGCTAGCTAGCATTAGCACGGCTAGTCACAAGCTAACAGCGAATTATTTCTTTTCAGAGCTGTATTTCCTCATTGCCAGATTTCTACAGTCTGGACCATGTAAAAAGGCAGCACAGGTAAAACGTTACGTTTCTACATTAAAAACGGTCATATTTTCTAAAGGAAGCGCACAGCTAGCCTGTCGGGCTAACTGTGTATATCTGTTGTTAGATTCTGATCGAGGAGCTGGAGGAGTATGAGGTAAGTTTGTGTTTTCCTCCTGTGGGCTCTGCCCAGTGATGCTAAACCTTCTGAACGAAACTAAGTCCGTTTATTTTTGGAAGAGCGTTTGAAGGATGAACGAGTCCCTTTGCCGTGGAGGGAACTGGTAGCTGCCTTATCTTTAACTGCTTGTTTTTAACTTTAGTTGGTTCCGCAACGATGGAGTTGGGACGGAAAGATATTCAAACGGAGTTTCCAAGACTGGGTAGGTTGGAGTTTTATTGGAAATATTATTTGGAAATGTGTCGTTTTATACTTTTTGACGAATTTTTATTTAAAAAAATTGTCTTGCTGATATAATTTTTTTTAACTCACAATTTATTTGGACGAAAGGATTCCTTATGAAAAAAAAAACTTATTAAAAACTAATTGTAATCCAGGCCTGTTGATAAATAACTAAATGTGCTTTCGCTATTGTGTGGAGCTTGTGGGCTGGTAGAGTAGAGCTAGGCGGATCGTGATAGGCTAAGTAAGATACCGAGACCTGTCAATCATCTTTAGAAGCCAATCAAATTGCTGCTGCTTCTTCTTTCTACCCGGAAGAGTTGAATGAGCCATTTGATTCGCTCTGCGTTTTTTAAGCCCCACCTTCTTTGTTTTCGTGTGTGTGTTCTCAAATAACTGTATTTATTTTCATTTACACACATATATATATAATTGTATCTCCCTTGATTGCTTTAAAATGATAATTTTGCTTTAAAAATATATCTATATTAACATATCTTGCTTTATATTTAAAGCGAAATTAACATTTAAAACCATAAAGGGAGATGCAATTTTATTTAAACAGTTTTCCATTTTTGTTGTGCTAATTTGAATTCTTAAATGGCCAAAAAAAAAAACAAAACAAACAAATTACTATTATGCTTTAACCAGTATGGCTAATAATTATTTTTAGAAAAAAATGATTTATGGTATTTTTTACAAATTTGAATGATTGTGTGCACATGTAGCTGTGTGTGAACGATTTTGCCAAAAATCAAAATTGCGAATCCCCTTTACACTAAGCACAAATATGTAGATGTTTCATTTGAGCGTTTCAGTTTTTTTTTTCATTTTTGTGTGAAATAGTTTGAACTTTCTGCAACTGTCTCTTCCCTTCTGTGTTAATTTGAAATTAATTTGAAAATTGCCTTTGGCTAAATTGCGATTATATTACACTCAACCGTATTTATTGTTTATTTATTTTTTCCCTTCAATCCACTCCTTGGGGTTTCGATAGCTCAGAGTGACATCATTTCATCACTTTTAATTATTTGAAGTCCACAGTTTAAAGATGATTAATTTGAAAAGGGAAACAGACATAGGTGATACTAACTCACTGACAATTACCATTTTAAGCACGGCTTGACTTCTGTGATGGTTCTGTTAGTGCAGAGTGTAGCTGAAACAGGAGTTTTCTCATATATGTCACCCAGGTGGTTTTGAATCAGCACATTCCTGCAGACTATCTGCTCCAAGTCTGTCGGCGGATCAGTCCACTTATAGAGAAGGAGATCCCACCCAGTGTTCCTGGAGTCCAAACACTCCTGGGGCTGGGAAGGCAGTCTTTGCTTCGCACCGCCAAAAGTAAGCATACTGTATTCTTTCTGATTTCTCTTGTTCTGTAGCGCTCTTTGCCTCATTCTCGCCAGTTTAGAAATAAATGTGTTAACTGTTGGTTACATTTAGGTTGTACCAGCAAAGTATGCTGTGGCTCTGCTGTTGCTGCCCTGCACAGAGGACGGCCCCCGGAACCTCCTGCTGTTATTGGGAATGTTCCTAACGTTGGTACGTAAAGCTTTTCATGTACTTTATTCCTGTGCAATCGGGGATTAAAAATGCATTCCAGAAAGTTTTCTGCCCCCAATGACTTGAATCAAGGAAAACATGTTCCTTGATTCAAGACATGTACGGTACAAAAAATGCACTGTATTATTTATGTAAAGATAAATGTTTGACCTGGATCGAATATCTAGGGCATCTTTTATCAGGTTTTCCTAAAAAGTAAAAAAAACAATCCACTGGACTTTGTTTCTAAGTTTTAAGATGTTTCGTTCCCATCCAGGAAGCTTTTTCAATTCAAATCAAATCAATTGAGATTTTTCAATTCAAATTTTTTTGGCTGAATAATTGATGTCAATTTAAAAATGTTTCTATAATTTTTTTTATTTTTTATGTTGTTTTCTAGTTTCAGAGTTTCCTCTACATATATTTGATGTCACAAAATAAAAGCCACCAAACCTTCAGAATTACGAAAAATAAATATAACGGTGTAATGCATCTGATTTAGCATACTGTTTATATTTGCCTTTTATCACATTATAATCAGTTAAATATTGTTTAAATGTACTTTATTTTGAAAAACCCTAGCCCTCCTGTCTCCCTGTGGAGCTGGTTAGCATATGAAGCTAACTGAAGGCTACAGGTCACTGCTCTGCTGTGGAGGAAAACTGGGGGCGACAGTCCAATGATAAAAAACTCAGTGATTTAATCGGTGTATATGGAGACTTTTTAGACCCTGTAGCAACTTAAAAATAGCAACTGGAGAGAAATCCAGTGACCTTTCTCTGTTTTTGGTGAGTTTAGCAGCACCAGATGAAAGCAGACCAGCTTGGAGCCCCTCCTGCAGTCAGATCAGACAGCAGACCTGCCCCATTTTTCCACAGCTGACGTAAAACACATGAGCGAAGTTACTGATTCTGTCCTGGATTACAAAGCAAGATATAAATATCATGGAAGCATAGTTTTTAATCTATTCTTTTTTTTTTCTCTAAAACTATTGAATTAAAATAGTGACTTGATTCCCACACAGCATGGATCACTTGTTTACAGGTGCTGGTCATAAAATTAGAATATCATGAAAAAGTAGATTGATTTCAGTAATTCCATTAAAAAAGTGAAACTTGTATATTATATTCATACATTACATACAAACTCATATATTTCAGATGTTTATTTTGTTTAATTTTGATGATTACAAATGACAACAAATGAAAATCTCAAATTCATCATACCAGAAAATTAGAATATTACTGAAGACCAGTAAAAACAAAGAATTTATAGAAATGTTGGCCAACTGAAAAGTATGAACATGAAAAGTATGAGCATGTACAGCACTCAGTATTTAGTTGGGCCTCCTTTGGCCTGTATTACTGCAGCAATGCGGCGTGGCATGGAGTCGATCAGTCTGTGGCACTGCTCAGGTGTTATGATAGCCCAGGTTGCTCTAATAGTGGCTTTTAGCTCTTCTGAATTGTTGGGTCTGGTGTATTGCATCTTCTTCTTCACAATACCCCATAGATTTTCTATGGGGTTAAGGTCAGGAGAGTTTGCTGGCCAATTAAGAACAGGGATACCATGGTCCTTCAACCAGGTACTGGTAGCTTTGGCACTGTGTGCAGGTGCCAAGTCCTGTTGGAAAATGAAATCTGCATCTCCAAAAAGTTGGTCAGCTGCAGGAAGCATGAAGTGCTCTAAAACTTCCTGGTATGTGGCTGCGTTGACCCTGGACCTCAGAAAACACAATGGACCAACACCAGCAGATGACATGGCACCCCAAACCATCACTGACTGTGGAAACTTTACACTGGACTTCAAGCAACGTGGATGAAGTGCCTCTCTTCTTTTCCTCCAGACTCTGGGACCTTGATTTCCAAAGGAAATGCAAAATTTACTTTCATCAGAGAACATGACTTTGGACCACTCACCAGCAGTCCAGTCCTGTTTCTCTTTAGCCCAGGCAAGACGCTTCTGACGCTGTCTGTGGTTCAAGAGTGGCTTGACACAAGGAATGCGACAGCAGAAACCCATGTCTTTCATACGTCTGTGTGTGGTGGTTCTTGAAGCACTCACTCCAGCTGCAGTCCACTCTTTGTGAATCTCCCCCACATTTTTGAATGGGTTTTGTTTCACAATCCAAGTGCTTGGACACTGAGCTCTGTGAACAGCCAGCCTCTTTAGCGATGACCTTTTGTGTCTTGCCCTCCTTGTGCAAGGTGTCGATGGTCGTCTTTTGGACAACTGTCAAGTCAGCAGTCTTCCCCATGATTGTGTAGCCTATAGAACTAGACTGAAAGACCATTTAAAGGCTTTTGCAGGTGGTTTGAGTTAATTAGCTGATTAGAGTGTGGCACCAGGGGCCATCAATTTTGAACCTTTTCACAATATTCTAATTTTCTGATATGATGAATTTGAGATTTTCATTTGTTGTCATTTGTAATCATCAAAATTAAACAAAATAAACATCTGAAATATATGAGTTTGTATGTAATGTATGAATATAATATACAAGTTTCACTTTTTAAATGGAATTACTGAAATCAATCTACTTTTTCATGATATTCTAATTTTATGACCAGCACCTGTAATTCCTGAGCCATGGATTACTGTCTTTTTGGAAAATGAAAATTACATATATCCAGTGAGGATTCAGGTCATATATGAAAATGTACAGATTATTTCACAAAGTCTTATTAGCATACATATTTTATAGTCAGTTTATCAGTGTAGTTTAAAGCCGGGCATACACTGTGCGCTATTTTCAGTATTTTAAGCTACAGGTTAAACTTTTTAAAAGTTCACAGCTCATAATGTTCTCCCACTGTGCAGCCCGACGCTCTGATGCGATCTGGCGACGGCCGACTGAATTTTAAACATAGTTGCTTTCCTCCCGAGCTTACGATCCCTGGTCAGGAGTTGGGAGGTGGCCACCAGAGGCTGGTCGCCCCTCTTTACCCCCTGTACACTAAGCGACACGTGATAAGCTGAAACTCGGCCCGATCGAAAATTCACGGATGACTGGAGAATCGGCCAGAAAAGTCTATGCCTGGCTTAAAACTTCCTGGAGGAAATCCTGTAAAAGTCCTAAAAAAGTTAATTCTGTAGACTTTCCCTGATGAGTCTGAAGGCTTCCTCTGTTTATCAGAGTATTTGTGTCTTATATGTCCCTGCTGAGGTCTCATAATGTGTCCTTTCACACAAAGTGTCCATCATGGGCGCTCGCCAGGCCACGGGTTCGGCCCGTTTCAGCCAGGTCCTGCCGTCTTCATCCTACCAGCACATGAAGATACACAAGCGTATCCTGGGCCACCTCTCTTCAGTCTACTGCGTGGTGTTTGACCGCACAGGCCGGCGGATATTTACGGTCAGGGATCCTTTGTTTGTCTGGAACATTGTTGCCCCGTTGCTTTCTGGAGATCCAGTTTGAAGAAGATATTGTCTGGGGTTTGGTTCAGGGTTCAGACGACTGCCTGGTGAAGATCTGGGCCACAGACGACGGCCGGCTCCTTTCTACGCTCCGCGGCCACTCAGCCGAGATCTGTGACATGGCTGTGAACTTTGAAAACAGCCTTATCGCCTCTGCAAGCTGTGACAAAATCATCAGAGTGTGGTGTCTGCGTACCTGTGCCCCCATAGCCGTGCTGCAGGCCCACGCGGCTTCTATCACATCCATACAGGTGATGCTGTGATCCTCAGAGGTGGAGCGGTTTTACAATTAGCTATAAGCACCTAAAAACCACTGAACTGTAAGGGTTTGTCTGTTTTTAGTTTTGTCCTGCAGCCAGAGGGACGAAGCGATACCTTGCATCAACAGGCGCAGATGGGATGGTGTGTTTCTGGAAGTGGCATTCCCACAGTATGAAGTTTGAGTGAGTTTTCCTTTCCTTTGAACTCTGAAGGTTTTGTTTTTAGATTCATTTAAGCAGAAAAATTAACAATGTTTTTGTAATTTTTCCCCAGCGATCAGCCAGTGAAGTTTGTTGAGCGATCGCGACCAGGTGTCCAGGTCTCCACTTCTTCTTTCAGTAGCGGTGAGCCTACAGTGATTCCACAATGTTAATCAAGTTGGTATATATCTGTAGCTGCATCTTAGTATTCAGAGACATTGTATACGTAGACGCCTCATTGGACATGTGCATAGAAGGCGACCATCTTGGATCGGACCACAGTTCAAACAGCTGCTGTCAGAAAGAATAGGAGGCGCCTTAGATCTCATTTTAATCACACGAAAGACGAGTCAGAGATAATATTACAATCATCTCTTACATGTCACAATCCCTTAAACAAACAAAACATGTTCTAAAATATATATGACACACATTAACTGATTAAAGAACAAATGTTCACATATTCATAAATAATTATAATTTTGTGTTTTGGAAGACGTTTAGACAAACTTATGAGGACAAAAAGTCTTAAGTTAGACACAACATAAATTTACCATTCACTATGATCTTGACAATGACAAAAAATGAATAAAAATGATCATAACATAAAATTAATTTAAAAAACAAAATAATAACTTTACTCTCTTTTGTAAATGACATTACAACGAATGTTCTCTATAGATCATAATACTCATTATCAAAGAGCAATCCTGAAAAAATACTGAATAATGTTATACTATATTATATAATATTTGTAAAACACAGTCTTATCATATATTAATATAAAACTTTGTGTTTTTCAGATTAATATTTAGTTGCAAATTATATAACTTTGCATATATCTCATCCAGTTTGAGTTCAGTTTGAATAGTTTTTAATCCAATAAATATGTGTAAACCATCCTCGTGTTATTCGGCACTTAATAATCCTGTGCAATCTGTAAACTCTTAAAATTCAGGAGAAATTACTAAGCTTATTTAGGAAAAGACTGATGTATGTTTTCAAATCTGACGGAATCTTGATCGTATTGCTCCATGTGTTTTGGTCTCTTGAATATGTTTTTGTTATCAGGAGGTATGTTCATGGCCACTGGCGGCACAGATCACATGATCAGGGTCTACTACCTCGGAGCAGAGACTCCTATGAAGGTGTCGGAGCTGGATGCTCACACGGTAAAAAAAAAAAAGCAGACCATCTGTCGACATTTTTGTCTCTTTCTGTCCTATGGAGTTGAATAATATTCATCTTTATCCTTTTAGGATAAAGTTGTGGTCGTCCAGTTTAGCAATAACAGTGACAGGTGAGATCTGAAGAGGAAACGGTTTTCCTTCGTATTTATGGAGTTTAAAGCATTCTGATAGTCTATCTTCTGTGTTCCAGCCTAAGGTTTGTGAGTGGCAGCCGAGACGGCACAGCAAGGATCTGGCATTACCAGCAGCAGGAGTGGAAAAACATCACGTTAGACATGACGGCAAGGCTTCCCGGGTAAGAGAGCCGTCAGAAACGAGTCATGTGTCACAGACTTTAAAGATGGTTATAGAATTAGTGATTTACACCTTCCTATCAGGACCGCCGTTGCTAACGGGGAGGATAAAACCAAGCTGGTGGTGACCATGGTTGCCTGGGATCGCAGGGACAGCTCTGTCATCACAGCTGTTTCAAACTACCTGCTCAAAGTGTGGAGCGCCACCTCTGGCCAGCTGCTGCATGTTCTGTCGGTAAGAAGCAGAAAACATTTAACTGCAGATCTTTTCAGGATGTCCAGATCTTCTTCGAACGTTTCCAACAAGTTTTTCCTGCCTGCTTAAGGGACACGATGATGAAGTATACGTGCTGGAGGCCCACCCCTTCGACCCCCGCATCATGCTCTCTGCAGGCCATGATGGCAACATTTACATCTGGGACCTGAGCAAAGGAGTCAAGATCCGAAACTTCTTCAACATGGTAACCTGCCAGCTGCGAGGTTTGCAAACCCAGGAGTCGTTATTGGCCTTGTGTTCATGTTGGAATCGTTTTTCCAGATCGAGGGCCAGGGCCATGGAGCCATTTTTGACTGCAAATTCTCAGCCGATGGACAACATTTTTCCTGCACAGACTCACACGGACATTTACTGATATTTGGCTTTGGCTGCAGCAAACCGTATGAAAAGGTATCATCCTGGCACCTATGGCCTCCTCTTTCATTAGGAGAGTTTAAAATCTGTACCATCTGACCATATGAATAACTTTTTCAGAAAACAAATCTGCTAAGATTTAACAGATTTTAGTACCATCTATATGGACCATTAAGGTAAAAACAGTTTAAAAAAAGAGCCTAAAAAGATGCAAAATTTGACTTAAGAGAGCTGAAAGGAGAATTAAGAAGACAAGGATTATTATTTTAGAACAAAATTCATCTTTAGTATTTTAAAAATTTGGTTTTATGAAGCGTATTGGTTGTATTTCATTAAACTACATCAGATGGATTGTAAAACGTGAGCCTACAGCAGGATCACTTAGTTTAACTTGGTTTCTAATCAACAATTGTAAGTCGTAGGGCCACAACAATCGATTATAGAAATAATCATCAAGTAATTTAGTAATCAATTAAATGTTAACTGGAGCATAGAGGCTGTAAAACATGACTTTAGCTGACAGAGCGACCCACTTAGAGCAGGAATTATACCAAGAGTAAACATTTTGCATTTAAGATAAACTTTTTCATCTGTCATTATGCTCTATCCGGAACTCCTGAAGTGGAGAAATTTTAGTTTCACCTGGTTTACTTTCTTAAGGAATCTTTGGCTATCAGATTATCAATAATTAATTTGAAAAATAATCAACAGATTAATCAATTTGCGAAATGAATGTTAGTTGCAGCCTTAGTAAGTCGATTTTTTGTCTTATTTCCTTTCAGATTCCTGACCAGATGTTCTTCCACACGGACTACCGGCCTCTCATTCGAGACTCCAACAACTACGTTCTGGATGAGCAGACGCAGCAGGCCCCCCACCTCATGCCGCCTCCCTTCCTCGTAGACGTGGACGGAAACCCTCATCCTCCCCGCTACCAGCGACTGGTCCCAGGAAGGGAAAACCACAAAGAGGAACAGCTGATTCCTCAGCTGGGATACATGGCTAACGGTAAAAACCGGCTCACTGTAGCCATTTGATGCATCAGCAGCAGGCTGATTTAGGACGTCTCTGCCCTGTCCTTTAGGGGACGGAGAGCTGGTGGAGCAGGTGCTTGGACAGCAAACGGCAGAAAACGGCGAAAGCCTTCTGGACAATCTCATCAGGCAGTTAGAGAACGAACAGGACGGACAGCAGAATGTGGAGCAGCAGGCAGATGGACCCATGGGTTGGCTGCTTCTCATTATGCACTTCCATACAGTCTGAACGCGTTAAATGATGAATGAGGGTCAACAGTTTCTTTCCCCCTCTAAAATGGGCTCCTTTTGCAGCTGCTGAAGCAGAGGTGGTGGCCTCCTCTCCTGGGGTCGAACCTCGCAGGAGCGGCCAGGTGGAGGGTGTGTGGCAGATGCAGCACAACTCGCTGCGCAGTCAGGTGGCCACCGAGAGGGACCTGCTGGCCTGGAGCCGCAGGGTGGTGGTGACAGAGGTTCCGCATGGTACCTTCAGGTGAGCCGGAATCCTGAGCAGCCACTCCGGGAAGCATCAACCACTTCTTTATGGTGTGCTGGATCATAATTGTTTCTCTCTTAAAGAGTACTTGAGGAATGCAGACAAGCCAAAAGTGACTTGGAGTGTTCCCTGTACAACGCAGAGAGGAGGAAGAAACCAGTGGGCTGCATCCTGAAGGTACGGCTGTTCCAGTCCATGTTGGCCTCACATCAGAGCCGCTCTTTAAAATGTTTTCTATGTTCCAGAGCAACACTCTAGGTTCCCGTCTGCGCTCCCTGCGGCCCACCAAGAAGAAGAAGCAGCAACACTCCTATCAGACCCGATCGGCTCAGGTCCGCCGACCTGGAACCCGTAGTCGGAACCCAGGCAACAGGCGTAACTCTGAGAGCCAGGTGGACTCAGACAGTGGAGAAGTAAGCTCCTTCTGCAGCAGAAAACAGGCTTTTTTTATAATGACGCTAACGCTGATCTGTGGGTTTACAGGAACAGGAGAGGCCGGAACATTCTGGTGACTCCTCTGAGGATGAAGCTCAATGGCAGAGCGAGAGCAGCTCCAGGTAAACGGCCTCAGTGTTTCCCCCAGACAGCTTCTCTGATCACCCAGCTAACATCCTCCGTTTCCGGTCCGCAGCGACTCGTCCAGCGAGTATTCAGACTGGACGGCTGATGCAGGAATCAACCTCCAGCCACCGAAGAGGTTGACCAGGAGACCCGTACGGCCCGCCGGCTACAGCAGCTCCGAGGAGGAAGAGGGCGGTGACGAGGATAAGGAGGCGAAGAAGAAAGAAAACAAGAAGAAGAAGAAACCCAAAAACACTAAACAGGTTAGAGCGAGCGAAAGCCGCTGCCGCTAGATGAACAGAAGACGCCACGTTGGTTTGTTTTCGGGTTAAGTAGAGTTTCTGTGTTTGACTCAGAAACCCACGTCCTCTCTGGCCGGACTCAATGCGGAGGAATGGCTGCCGCCGTCCTGGATCATGGAGACCGTTCCACGTCGCTCTCCTTTCGTCCCGCAGATGGGAGATGAAGTGAGTTCCTCTTTTGACAAGGTTTAAGTAGACGCCATGTTTGACGTGTTAACAACGGTTCTCCTTCCTTCCAGCTCATCTACTTCAAGCAGGGCCATCAGGCGTACGTCCGCGCCGTTCGCAGGGCCAAGGCCTATAGCATCAACATCCAGAAGCAGCCGTGGAACAGGCTCAACCTCAGGGTGAGGACAGCGGCCCTCTTTGCGATTATTTCAGGCCCGTGCTACAAGCAGGAGGATTCCAAAGGCCCTGACTGGGCCCCGGAAAATATAGATCAAGAATAATAGAACATTTATATAGATAGATTGATAGCGATAGAGGGAGATATAGGGCTGCAACTAACGATTACTTTGCAAATCGATTAATCCTTTGATAATTTTATTTTGGGTTAATCTTTTAATAATCAAATAGCCAAAGGTTTTTTTAAACAAATGTTTTTTTACTAAATTAAACCAGGTGAAACTAAAACCTTTTCTGGATAGAACTCATCAAAATTTCTTCAAAAACTGTCCAACAAACTGGTCTATCTTCAAGGATAGTGCAGATTGATGGCTGAAAAAGTTATTTTTAATCTTAAATGCAAAATGTTTATATATTTCTTTACAATCTTGGTATAATTCCTGCTCTAAGTGGGTCGCTCTGTCAGCTAAAGGCATGTTATACAGTCTCTATACTCCAGGTAACGATTAATCGATTATTAAATTAGTTGTTGATTATTTCAATAATCAATTAATCACGATTGTTTCAGCCCTAGAGAGATAGATACCATATGTTGTGAAAGGTATTCTCTCCCCTGCCCTGATTAACATCCAAACTTCCTAATCCATCGGGGTTCACTATGATATTGAAAAACTCTTTGCAGCTAAAACAGCTTCAACTCTTCTGGGAACGCTGCCTTCAAGGTTTAAGTGTTGATGGGAATTTTTACCAACTCCTCCAGAAGCACATTAGTGAGGTCACACGCTGATGTTGGACCAGAAAGCCTGGCTCTTCATCTCTGCTCTAATTCTGTTTTCCATTTTCATACATTATTTGAAAAAGCTCCAGATAGCCGCAGGGGAGGCATTAAAGAGCTGCGGTTTGCCAACCCCTGAATTAGATCATCCGGTCAGATTGGTTTTCTCCCTGAGAAAAACTGCAGTTTTCTCTCCTGGATGAGTCTGTAGTGACATCAGACAATTTCCGGTTGACTTTACAGCAAAGCGTCACACTGAGAAAGCATGGAGCGAAAAACTCCCTTAGAAAGGGGAATAAAAGGAAACCTGTCACTTTCAGCAGCACTGTTAGATGACAGGTCACTTCATCTTAGAGAACCTTTTGGTTTTAGAGGATGTTTTCTCTGTTGAAGATGATGTTGGTAGTTTTTATTTTTCTTTGATTACTTACACAGAATTAATCACATTAAATTGTAATTAAATGTAAATGTAAGGTCTTTTTCATCTTTTAAGAATTTTAATGTTAAAAACTGTTCATTTCAATTAAAAATGGCTTTTTGCACACTTTCCGTCTGCTTTTAATCAGAAAACAGTTATGTGCAAACAGTACACAGGCTGTTGTACTATTAGCTACCAGGAAGCAAGATAGTGTTGAGCCGGTGTTTTTTAAAGGCTTCCTGTCTGAGCTTTCTGACCTCAGTGCTTCAGTCGGTTAGAAACCTATCGCTCTGCGATAAGATGGTCTCCATCCAGAACACGCGAAACAGAGGTGGTTCCCAACAGTTGGTCCAGCTTTCATGTGAGCTTTCACGATGATTTCTCAGATGTTTCCTCGTTGCTCCTTTAGGACCAGGAATCTGTGAAGGTGGTTGGAATCAAGTACGAAGTGGGACCACCCACCCTCTGCTGCCTGAAGCTGGCCTTCCTGGACCCGGTCTCAGGGAAGATGACCAACGACTCCTTCTCTTTAAAGTGAGCAGCAATACGGAGCACACTCACCCCCTTGGAAAAGTTTTCACTCCCCTCAAACTGTAGCCATCATAACAGCTAACTTCAGTGTTTGGTGGTTAACATGTTACGTTTGACAGTTGGGGTTGAATTAAATCCTGCGGTAAGTAGCGTCCATCTGTGCGTTGTTGCTCTCGCCGGATGAATGCGACCTATATCTGAACGGCCAAGATTAAATTCATATTGGATTCGGGACCACAGAGCCAAGTGGCCTGGGTCGCATTGGAAAACATCGGATCTGTGTTGTTTAGACTGACATGAAAATATCATATACATAGTGTTAATCAGTAACAAAATAAAAAAAAACAATATTTTTCGTCCCGATCACCAAATCTGGGACCTGAGTCTAGTAACACCTGACTCCTGACATCTTCCGGCAGTGACGTCACAGTGCGGTAAGCCCAGCGCCATTCTCCCCACTTTACAAGCAAAATCAATGGGAGCTACTATAGGGATGGAACGGTTTATAAAAACCGTCCGAACTGTTCGGTTCGAGTGGTGAAAGAACAGGAGTTGGGAGACGCGCCAGCAGCACTTTATAGGTCTGCTGCATGGGACCACTTTGCATTTAGAGTGACCTACGATGACGGCGGAAAGAAAGTTGTGGATAAAGTGCACCAGTGTGCAAGCATTGTGCAACACGTTTTGTTTTTGCTAACAGCAACATGACCAACATGTCATGCTAACACCGAAATCCCACATACTCCGTCAGCGCTCCGCTCCAGACCACCTGCACAAAGCAAAGCCTACAGCCTCCGCTGTGGCTCCCGTCCGCTCCGCTCTGAGTTACTTGGAGATCGTAGAGAGCATGCGCGAGATGATTAAATTAAAGCAGCAAAACAAGCGGAAATGATTGTGGGTTTCCGCGAATCATTAAAAATAAATACAATTCATTATTTTTTGGGATTTTTTCATTAATTTCTTAAATTTTTATTTTTTCATTAATTTTTATGATTTTTTTTATTTTTCGGTGTAACAATAAACATATACTGAACCGAAAACCGTGACCACGAAATCGTGAACCGAACCGAACCATGGATTTTGTGAACCGTTCCACCCCTATGCTACTAGACACATCAGCAATCAACAACAAATATTTAAGATTTCCAGAGGACTTCACCATTGTAATTCACCCGAGCTATAGTTATAGTGACAATGCCCACATGCATGGCAGTTGGGTGTTGTAATACATCTGGTAAAAGTGGGAACAAAAAAAAAGAAATAGTTCTTTCACCTTTTCAATCCATGATCCACCACAGACGGGTCACTGCGGTCCTGGTTGTTGGATTGTCAACTTGAAGAGGGAGGATTTGCCATCAAACTTCTGGACAGAAAAAAAAAACACGTCTTCAATGCGTTACTCTCTGCTTCGCATAATAGCGGGTTGTGGCAAACATCAGATAGAGCACTGGGATTTGCTCAGCAGCCGATACCGCGCCGTGGCGTCACAAACCGGTAGGTAGCAGTAGTGTTCTTTGTGAACATAGATGTCTCCAGTAAATCACATTCAAACGAAATTACTCTTAATTTAAAAACACATAATAATTTCATGCTTAAAGTACTTTCAGAAGTTTGTATTCCTAATGTGATGGGGCTCTTTAACATAACAGATATTTTGTTATCTTATTTTAAACTAGAGCTGCATATGATTATTTTGCAAATCGATTAATCTCTTACTGATTTTTTTTTTTTTTTTTTTTGATTAATCAATTAATAATCTGATAGCCAAAGATTCTTTAAAGAAGATTTTTTATGAAGTTGAACCAGATGAAAAATAAACTTTTCCACTTGGGGAGTTCTGGATTATGGAGCAGATTGAAATACTTTTTTTGCTCTTTGTTTCTCTGTTTTTGCTGCCAAAAATAGCGTGTCCCACTTCCAATTACAGATATCCCACTTAAACAATATAGTGTCTCCAAAAATCCGACATTGGGGCAACAGCGTTTGAGGTTAATAATAAAATCTGTTTTTAGAATTTCTATTGTGAGGTCTGAATACTGAGGGTCTGAATACTTGGCAGTGTGCAGCTTCAGCATCAGATTAAGAGCGTGTTTCATCCTCCTCCAGGTATCACGACATGCCCGATGTCATTGATTTTCTGGTGCTGCAGCAGTTCTACAACGAGGCCAAAGAGCGTAACTGGCAGCCAGGTCAGTTCCTGCCCAGCCATCTCTCCAGAAGTTATGTTTTGGGTTAAGTTGTGTAAAAATGCCTGGTTCTCCCTGCAGGGATGAGGTTCCGCAGCATCATAGATGATGCCTGGTGGTTCGGGTCCGTGGAGGATCAGCAGCCGCTGCAGCTAGAGTATCCAGACAGCCTGTTTCAGTGCTATGCAGTGAAGTATGTGAAAGGATGCTTTATTTAAGCTATGTTGCTCTTAAAAGGACTGGGCTGAGTCTGATTTCATTTGATCAGGTGGGACAACGGTGAGCGGGAGAAGATGAGTCCCTGGGACATGGAGCCTATTCCAGAAGAAGGTTGGTGATGTTGATTGTTTTTAAGTTAAACCAAATATTCACAGAAATGTTTTGGAACAACTAAGGTTTGAACGATTCAAAAAAAGTAACAGAACAATCCACTGGACTTTCTTTTCAAGTTTGAAGATGTTTTACTTCCTGTCCAAGAAGCTTTTTCAATTCAAAATGTCAGAAATAGCGTTGAGTTTCGGGCTTTATAGAGTGGACCAAAAACAAAGCCTTGTTTTGGCTTAGAAAACATACAAATTGAATTGGATGAACGTGTCCGGCCCTCAGGAATGGGAGTCCTTTGGCTTCTTTTTTAGCCTCCAATACTCAATATCTGTCCGTGTCTCTGAAAGGGGGGTCATTAGGGGGGAATTTTTAGTCTGCCTGAACAGGCAACTGCCAGTTGGACACAGACTTAACTAATAAGGGCTTTAGTTTGAAGTCGGTCAAAGGTGACACTAAACAAAGAAGTCTTTAATGTGGATCTAAAGCAGCTGTTTGCTGGGAGTTTCGAAATCTAGATAAGTTATTCCTAAAATAAGTGCATTTGTTCTTGGATTCAGGAGGTAAAAGAGACATTTTGCCAATGGAACAAGATCATTTACATTTAAAATAAGAAAACACAATTACAGTGTCTTATTTCAAGTGCATATTATCTAATTATCTTATTTTAAGAGTAAAAATACTCATTCCATTGGCAAACTATCTCAAATTAACGGTAAATGCACTTAATTTGAAAAATTTGTACTTATTCCTAGACGTTTTTCCAGTGTGGATTCTCTGGATATAGAACAAAATCTTTTGAATCTGGTCTTATCTCAGACCGACCTGCTGTACCTTAAACATATTTATTATCCAGAGGTGTTTGAGTTTCTGAATGATTTCCCTCAGCTGCTTTGCCAGAAGAGGTTGGGGACGGCGTGGAGGTGATGGAAGAGGAGTTCCAGGCCCTCCTCTACAGGCCTCAGGAGGGAGAATGGGGGGCTCACACTCGGGACGAGGACTGTGAGCGGGTCATCAGAGGCATCGATCAGCTTCTCAAACTTGGTGAGCCTTCAACGCTTCCGCTTCAGTTAAAGGAACCCATCTGTGCTGGTTCTCATGATGTCACATTGATTTGCCCCCAGATGTGGCGAAGGCTTTCTCCTCACCTGTAAGCCTCCAGGAATATCCCCTTTACTGCACGGCAGTGGCCTACCCCACAGACCTCAGCACCATCCGCAGACGGCTGGAGAACCGCTTCTACAGGTGAGCAGGACGCGTCCCTGTGCTGTGAATAGTCGCTCTGAGCTGTGCGCTGACGGTTTTCCCCGCTGCAGGCGGATCTCTGCGCTGATGTGGGAGGTGCGTTACATTGAACACAACGCTCGCACTTTCAATGAACCCCAAAGCCCAATCGTAGCAGCTGCCAAGGTGGTGACGGATGTCCTCCTCCACTACATTGGGTGAGAAGCACAGATTGGAGGTTTCAGCCTCTTTGCTGATGTTCTGCTTTTCGGTTCCTTGCTTAATAATCAGACGGTGAAGAATACAGCGTATATTTAAACTGAACCAGGTTTCAGTTCTTCATTTTAGTTATTAAAACCTTCAGGTTTTCTGCACTGGAGCTTAAATCATTGTTCTGCTGTCTTAAATGTTTTTGCTGATGTTATTTCAGCCATAGTGATACTCAGGGCTAAATAGGTGTGTATGTTCACTATGGGGAAGATATAATATATATAATACTGGATTATATCTGGCTGCAACTAAGCAGAGGTGAAATAAAATAGTACAAATACTTTGTTCCCTTCCTTAAGTAGAAATGTTGGCTATCTATACTTTACTGGAGTAATTATTTTTTAGACAACTTTTTATTTCTACTCCTTAAAGACTCGTTAGTTTTGTTTCATTTAACCTCATTTTCATTATAGCCTGTTAGTATTTAAAAAAAAAAAAAAAAACACATAAAAAATTATTAGTTTCATCCAGACAATTCATTTCTTTGTGGTTGGACTCGGTGGTGCCCCAACTTGTTGTTCACCACATACCTAAAGAAATAGTTTTTTAAGATGATGCAAAGTTAAATTTGACACTGTTACCATTAGTTATAAAACTAAGAAAATGAAGTCTAAGGAAGTTATCATCCAGAACTGTAGAAAAATGTTCCTTTAATAGGGTAATGCAGTAAAACTTCTGTCCTTAACATTTTTTCCCTGCATTACTTTTACTTTTATACTTGAAGTAGTTTTAAAAATGATACTTTTACACTTTTACTGGAGTAAAAAGCTGAAGTTTATCCTCTAACTTCTGCAAAAGTGTGTTTAACAGTAGGATTTATACTTCTACAGGAGTGATAAACATTAATCCTTTGGACATCTCTGGCCCTAAAATTGTTGATATAAGCAGACTGATAGAAACACTCTGCTTCTGTCTAGACTCTGTAACCAATTGGTTGATAATAAAAGGTTTGGTTGTTGATCTGTTGGAGTAAAATCACTTGATAAAACCTTTCCTGACATAAAACACTATAAAATGTTAAAAGCATCAATGATTCATGCTGATGTGATCTTGGCTCAATATCGGCACCGGTCAGTTCTCATGTATCCCTTTCTCACTAAGGGAAAAACCAGTTTAAACCCGGGACCAATCAGCTTTCAGTGGCAGTGGCAACAGCTCACTGATGCGTGTCTACCCGAGTCAAACGACTCGGAAAGCAACCCATGTTAAAATCGCCTCAGCTCTGATTGGTATGCTGTGGAAACACCAGAGCTGGGTGGACTCGCTAATTAACATGACACCATTGAACGCAACATACGGATGTCAACACACCGCGCCTGTCGCTTCTGATCTAACAAGCAAAAACTCTGTTTACATTCAATAAACATGGAGCAGCTCTGGTGGGAGGGATAGAATGAAACAATAAAGCACACTGACTACGCCCTGGCTTCCTTCCACTGTGCTCTCCATTATTTACTTTCCTGATTTCTGTCACACTGGTGACATCATCAACTAGCCCAGCCTGATGGTCACACCAGACATGCAGCCGCAGGGGGACAGAGGCCCTGCAGCTGCCAGCGAGGGGTTAGATCAGCTTTCATAGCCAGTGGGAAGGAAGCCAAATGCTGATTGACAGCAGGTCGACCATGTTTGAAAAACACGTGTTAACGCACTATTTTCAGCGAGAATGAGGCTAAAGGTGCAAATATCTGTATCGTATCGGAAATTAAAATGTTGTATTGGGACACCCCTGATTTACAGTAACAACTGAGGTATGATATTGTGCCTCTGCTCAGATGGTAAACAAGGAAGTAGCCTGCTGCGGCTAAGCTAGTTAGCGCCTCCCATCAAAATGAGAAAATATCCAGACTGAGGGTTTACATCCACCGCTGAGGAGCAAAGCTGCTGGGGCGTTCAGTGGTTGCTAAGTTAAAGGAATCTTGAATGTAAAATGTTTATGTATTTTTTAGTTATGATTCCTGCTCTAAGTGAGTCTGTCAGCTAAAGGCCTGTTTTAGAGTCTCTATACTTCAATTAAAGATTAATTACTAAATTAGATGATAATTATTTCATTAATTAATTAATCTGATTAATTGCTTCAGCCCTACATATTTATCATTGCTACTGTCTATGTACAAAGAAATCAATCGATTGATCGTTTCTTCCCTTGATGCTGTCTCCCTTTTTTATGGGAACAAGATGATTGTTTCTTCTTGATGTTTTGATATGAGGCTTTGGGAGGACTGACTGGAACTCAAAGGTGCTGTAAATCAGTTTATGTCCTTCGTATCTGTCGGCCTGTGACCTCGCTGAGCTGTTGCTTTACTGCAGGCATTGCCAGACAGCTGAGCTCTATTTAGTTCCAGCCATCTGGCTTTCTGTCATCGCGCCTGGAGCTGGGATTGGATTTAGACTCGAAAAGGAGCTAAACGTCATCATGATGGATGCTTGGCATCTAAAACTCGATTTAATCATGATCAGATGGTTTTTGGTCTTTTCTATAGGCATATAACTTAGTCTTTACAGGTAAATGCTTTCTAAACAGAATCACCAGTAATTGTTAAATAAGTTTTCAAATAAACTAATATGACACCATGTGATGGACTGGCGATCTGTCCAGGCTGTACCCCACCTCTCGCCCGTAGACAGCTAGAGAGCACCCCTCGATAACCTGCTTGGGATAAGCTTGAAGAAAAAAAAATGGATGGACACCATTTGACAATACATGAAGTTTTCTGTGATTTTATTCTGTTTAATTTGCAAATGATGCAGAAACGTAAATTATATCAGCAAAAATATCTAAACATCACAGTCTTTGGTATTTAGCTTCTTTAATTGGTGCTGTATCTGGATACAGTTTGGGAGTATACATGTTTATGACAGTATTAGGAGCTAACTGAGTCATTAATGCAGCTGAGACGGAGGAGGGATTCCTCTCAAGCATTCAGAACACTGGATCCAGGGAACCGGACCTGGTTTGGACCAAAATATTGTAGAAAAAAATCTAGGAAAGAATCTGGAAAGCCATAAAAAACTATTGTTGACAGACCTTCTCCTATTAACTGCTAGAGAATAAGAAGTTAGTCTGGCATCTGGAAAAGCAGCAGGAGGTTCAGCGTAGGGCTGGGCGATCTGAAGAAAATCTAATTATATATTTTTCTATATTTGGGCTGTAATTGCGATACACGATATATATCATAATGCGTTTAAATTACCTTCAAAAACACTAGAGTGTATAAAATTGCACAAATGTACTCATTAAAACGTTTGTTTTTAAATTGAAAACATTTTATTTTAACAGTTAAGATGATTTCTTTGGGTGTCAGTATTAGACTTTTAACAAGATCCCAGCGATCAAACGGGAAACAAAGCAAAAACACACTATACTAAATAAAATGCAAAATAAATAAGGGCTTTATGTGCATAGTAAGAAAAAAAATTACAAAAGCAAAATTAGAAATACTGTCCAAAAATTACTGCATCATCAGAGCACCTCCAAACTATAAGCATTGATCTTCAGTGCAGGAGGTGGGAAACAAAAGGATCGTAACTAAATTAACATCTCTGTTGGATAATGTTTCCCACCCCATGCGTTAAGCTGTTTCAGAACTGGAGAGCTCCTTCAGTGACAGACTGCTGCACCCTGAATGCACCAGGGAGCGTTATCACAGATCCTTCCTCCCAGCAGCTGGAAGACTCTATAGCCATCACTGTTCCCAACAACCTCAATAAGTTTTTACATTAATGCTGAGTTTTGCACAGTTTCTACCTTAGTCAGTTAAACCAGAATTTCCCCTATTGTGGGAGAACAAAGGAATTTTCTATTTTATTCTATTCTATTTATGTACTAGGAATTTTAAAGGAGCTCAAGAAGTTGTAAAATTGAGAACATTGGCAAGTTTAGAAACCTCTGAAGATCACATCACAGGTATTGGAGCGTCTGTGATTTCCCTCCCATCTGTTTCTCTCATATGGGATTGTTTTTTTAAACGAGGCCAACATCATCGGCTTCACAGCTTATTTATTGAAAGTTTTAATTGGTGTGCGGGGAATACGCTGACATGCGGAGTTTGCAACATTCTTCATTCTGCAGCCGATGACTTTTTAGGTGGTAGAATAAATTATACTCCTACCTTTTGCAGCAATGGTTTTTGCCACCTTTTCTTGTGTTCTTCTGCATCCTTGGCATGAAATCCTAGCCTCTGCCGTATATTGCTCAGCTGAAACACCTGCTGTCACCATATTTAGTTTGCTGGTTGCTGCAGTGTGCGAGAAAATAATCCTGTTTAGAAGAGGAGTTTATGATGCATTCAAAGTGTGCGGAAAAGATAAAACTCAGTGAAATAGATGCTTAATATCGTCATGCGAATTTGTGCCTGATGGTTGCGATAGTCATTTTAATTATTGTGCTCAGGGAAACTCGATATATAAAGTATATTTGATATATCTCCCACCCCTATTTCAGATTAATCGATGTTATCAAAGGTTAAAAGCTAATTTCCTTTAGAGTTGGTTTTTGAAGAAACATTAATGAAATAAAATCAAGTTTTGCGCTTTTAGTGTGACAAAACTTGCAGTAGAGCGTTAACGATTTCCTCCTGGACCTGCTGTGATCCTCAGAGACCAGAGCTGCACAGACATCCTGGACCTGTACCACAAAATGAGGTCCGAGGTTAGCAGCGGGGAGGAGGCTGAGGTGAGACTCTGATTTGGTTGTTTTCTTCATGGATCAAAAAAACGCTTTTATTGAAGTTTTCTTTAAAACGTCGTCCTCCTCAGATTGACTTGGACGTGGACTCGGACACCCCGGGGACGTCTGCGGGACATCGGGTAAGAACAGCAGTCTACAGCGGCTCCTTTTACTGGAGGGAACCAGTAGCTCCGGTGCCTCAGTGAGGCTCAGCTTTATCTCTGCTCCTCAGCCGAACTCCAAGAAGCGGGGTGTGGATTTCGATGTGAACGCGTGGCGAGGTCATTGCCGAGAACTTCTGCGCCGCATGTTGGCTTCGCCTGACTCAGGGCCGTTCAGGCGGCCCGTGGATCTCTTTGAATACCCGGTAAAACCATCTCTAATGAACCGGATTACATCGAAGCGTTCTCAGACACTGAAAGTCCAGCTTTTAAACACAGCTTGATGTTTTTACTCAGGACTATCGGGACATCATTGACACTCCCATGGATCTGGGAACAGTGTCAGAGACTCTCGTGGCTGGAAACTACGAGAACCCCATGGAGTTTGCCAAAGATGTCCGCCTGATCTTCAGCAACTCCAAAGCTTACACACCTAACAAGAAATCGCAGGTAAAGCAGGCCAGCCTGCATCGATCAGCTTCCAAAGTCTGATACAGAACTACAGTGGGTATGATGATCTATTCTTTCTAGATCTATGCCATGACGCTCAACCTGTCGGCTTTCTTTGAGAAGCACATAATCTCCATCATTTCTGACCACAAGTCAGCCCTTCAGAACGAGCGGAGAACTCGTCAGAGACTCAGTTATAGGAACAGGCTTCACAACGGAGGAAACTCCCTACGCAGCAGTCCGTCCCCCAGGTACCGAGCAGCACCGTCACAGAAGAGGAATCTTCCCTCAATTATTTCACGAAGGCATATTGTTTGCTGGTTTCTAAATGGTGTTTTTTTTTTTCTCTGGTTTTATATTCCAGCGTCAGAGGAAGGCAGAAATCGGGGAAGTCGTCCAATCCTAAAAAAACCTCATCCTCCACTAAGAGAACATCTCAGAGAACATCTCGAAGTACGTTTGAGCCTCTGTGCTTCTCTTGCTCCTCCTCCTCTGCTTCTTTCTCACCCTGTTAGTATTTGCTGGCTCATTAGGGGGGGTGAACTATTTTTTGTTCCCCCTCAGCAGCCCCACTGTGGGACAGAGGTGGGTAATCCCAATCTGTGTTGGATATGCTAATTGCTGGAACTAATCTCTGGACCGGTTTTTATTTTCTGGGTCTGGATTATCTACCTCTGCTGTGGGACAATGTTCCACATCCTTCAGAGACTCTTTCTTTTGTCTTTCTTCCGTCCGTCCATAACTTTTTTTTTTTTCCTTCATGGTCTCTAACATCAGCCAAATGTGAGGAAGGTATTAAGTTCCTCTCTGTGATCATTACTGCTTTGTTTTTTCAGCTCAGCACAGCAGCGTTGTAGCAGAGGAAGAGGAATCCTCGTCTTCCTCTCCAAGCTCAGGGGAAAGCTTGGAAAGAAGCGACCAGGGGCCCCAACGTTTGACCCGCAGCCAATCCCCTCCTACAAAGAAACCAGGTATGATGGACACGACTGGGAGCGTCCCTCCTCATAGGCTGGTGTTAAATGGAAGGCACAGGACTAACCTTTGACCTCTGGCTTGTTGCTTCAGGCTATGTGCGTAAGCTGCATCTGACTAATGGCTCCAGAACTCAGCCGCAACCGAGTCAGGAGGCACTGCAATCCGACGACGAAGAGGAGGAGGATGGCTCTGGCTCCAACAGCTCAACCTCAGAGTCTGATTCCTCCTCCTCCTCCTCATCGTCTTCCTCCTCTTCATCCGACAGCGGGAGCAGCTCTGACTCGGAGGCGGAGAAGTATGTGGAGGGGGGAGATCACGACTACAGCAAAGCTCCCCGCCTGTCTGCCTGCCCCTCGGCGAAAGGGGCAGTGACGGGGAAAAGGAAAGTGATGGGAGTGCAGAACGCAGCACAGAGAACCAAACGAGCACGACTGCAGCTTCCTGAGGAGGAGGAGCAGGAGGAGGAGGAGGAGGAGGAGGAAGATGGTGAGGAGGAAGATGGTGAGGAGGAAGAGGAGAAGCCGCAGCAAATGGAGAATGTAAGACACTTTGAGCAGGAGGATGATGAAGAGGAGCCCGAGGAGGAGGAAGAGTCTGAGGAAGAGGAGGAGGAGGAAGATGAAGCGTTGCATGTGCAGAGAGTAGCAGCTAACAGCTCGAGAGGCGGCATTTGTAAACTGGGCCGTGTCAGCACACGGAACCAGGGCCGCAGGACGGTGGTGTACAGGGACGAGTCAGATGAAGACGGCCGCGGGTCCAAAGACGACCCGCTGAACCTGGGCCGGTCCCGCTCAGGCCGGGTACGCCGGATGACGGAGAAGGCCCGGGTCAGCCACCTGATGGGCTGGAGTCACTGACGCTGCCCTCCTCTTCCTCCTTTCAGCACCACAAGACTTCAGGGATTTTTGTTTTTGTACAGGTGTGTAAATAATAAATCTAGATATCTATGGTTCTGCTGGTGCTCCTCCACTGTCGCCACGGATTTCTGCTCCCTGGACGACAGAGCCTCACCTTCAGCCTTACTGCTCTCCTCCTCAAACACTAGATGTTCCTCACACTACTTCAGCCACTGTTCACCAAAGAACCATGTGAAGATGCCAAAAACATGGTGCTCCTGTGTTGACCTCCGATGTTTGAGGAAGAATCATTCAGCCGACCCGCCCTTCATCTGCCGCCGCCGCCAGACGCATTAGCAGCCCAGGGCTCCTGAAAAGTCTGGGGTCTGATTCAGGCATTTTCCAGACCCTAGACAAGGAAGGAAATAAGAAAAGGTTTTTATGCTTGATTACTGAGGAGGCGTCCTCTTTTTGTTTCCTTCCTCCCTCCCTTCTTTCCACCCTCTCCTGTGTCCTACCCCGCTGTTTCCTTCCCTCCTCTCTCTGCTGTTCCCTCCTATCCTTTGTTGTATCCTTCCTTCCTTCCCTCCTTCCGTCCTTCCTCTCAAGATGTCATGAATTCTAACCATTTTAATTGATGTTTGAAGGCAGTATTTAGCAGTGATCCCAGCTTATTATGGGATGTATATTTAAACATGGACCGTCTGCAGGAACCCTTACAATGTCGTCGTCTGGCCAACAGCAATACCTGCAAATAATCAGAAGGAATCTCCTCCTCATCACTAAACTATGAACTTTGAGTCTTTTATTTTTCCTGAGAACATGTTTCTGTTATGTGTTTGAATCAGATGGGGTGATGAGTTTTTTCTCTTCTGTTCTGGGTGAGAAGAACCCTCCATTCTTCCAGGTGAGCTCTGATGGACCAGAGCAGAGCAGACGGGTTCTTGGACAACTCTTCCTTATTAATATTTATTTATTTTTACTCTTGTTTGTTATGTTGATAGTGATAAGTAACAGATATTTGCACATTTATCTCCTCCATGTGGCAGCTGAGTGAAAGAGAGAAATTGACAGGAAACCTCGTAATATTTTATGTTAAACCTTAAACTGTGCCAGCGAACTTCTATTTTGGATTAAAATTGACATTTATTTTTGCAACCTGAGGATGAGGCTATATTTGGATTTTCGTTTAAACTTCTCATCTTGCAGGATTCCATTCGGTGGTGGTTTAGGTTTCTTTTCAGTCTAAACTAACTTCTCTGTTATTCCTTTTTCTTTTTGCTTCTGTGTTTACATGAACGCAGTCATGCTGAGAGCATTTAGAGCAGAGCTCGGCTCATCTTTCCAGCACCGGGTGCTAAAGTCTAAACACACTTCCTGGACCCTCAGCGTGTGGTTCTGAGCCAGAGGGTCTTTGTTCTCGTCAGGTTCCTGGAAATAAAACACAAACTGACATCAGCGCGTCAGCTGCCTCTGGCTGCAGCATTAACTCATGTTTTGAATTGTGTGAAGATGGACTCTGATATTTGAATCTGATTTTATGACATGGAGCTCAGCGTTTCCTGGACATCAGGATGACATCATTCTGCTGTAGGTGGAAAAATAAAAACGCTCACATGACTCTTTTATATGAATGTTTTTATTGTGTTGTTTTTTTTGTTCAGTTTTTTTCTAAATAAAACAGGTACATTTGAAAATGATCTGGAGTTTTACTTCACGTTCCTGGATTATACAGCATTGAGCTGTAATGTCTGCTGAAGATGGATGCAGCTGTTCAGAACCGCTGAGACTGAGTCATCCGATCCGGCTGGCAGAAAAGGCAGATTACCAGGTCTGTCAGTTTACTGCGACGTGCGCCGATAAACTTGAATGTACTCTTTGCAGCGGAGTTGAGTCACACAGGGAATAAACAAGGTTAGGCTGTGACGCACTTGGCTCTGCCACGCCTACAGACAGGGAGATGGCTGGATTCACTGAGAGAACAGTGTTTATAAGGGCAAATGAATAGAAAGCCTTTTATTTTAAAGTGTTTCAATTTATACAGCCCCCCGGCTGCGGGTCAGAGGTGCTCCCTGCAGGAGACTTAATCTGGAGGCAATTATTGGAAGAAAAAAATCATTGAAAATGTTTGAAACACAAATGATTAATCTTTAAACGACCTGAATTTTTACATTTAATTATTAAACAAACAGGAAGTGTTTACAAAGACTGATCCTGGAAGGTAAAAAAAGAAAAACTTCTTTTACCTGGTGTTCTGTCAGACCAGCATACTCAGTCAATACGCATGTGCAAGATGTCAGACTTGCATATGTCTAACACTATAATTGGAAGGAAGTCTACAAGGCTACTTTATTTATGCGTGATGTTATAAATATTTTTAGCCCAGGGTACAAGGTAAACAAAATTTAAAGATAAACTGCTTTAAACATAGACATCCTCGTTTTCTTTGTTCGCTATTTCTCACTGTGACGTAACAGCTAACCTGTCAGATTGTCATACAATTGTTAAGTGTATGCTGATCTTGATAGGTGCAGATGTAAAAGAAGTAATTTAAATGTCCCTTTCTGCATGCCTGCACATACATATTCTATGTACGCTGGTCTGGTGGGGTATGCTGACCTCATAGAACACCTGTTCAAGAACCTTTTTAAACTGGAACATATTAACAATATAAATATTTATTCAAGAAAGAAAAAAAAATCACACTAATGATGTAGAAGATATATGATGACTTGTTGTTGCAAGCTCAATGTAAATGTGGGGAATCCTGACATTTGGCTTTACTATCATTTACATGTTCCTCTCCTACAGAAAGTCTCTTAAATTAAAATGTAGAAAGCCCATATTTAATGAGGTAGATAATATATATATAATTTTCTGTTTAATGTAGATTTTAGGTTTATTATATTTTTAATCTCTTAAATAATTTTTTGGCCGATAAGAAAAAAAAGTTTAGGCACCCCTGGTCGACGTGGATTTCAACACATTTTAATGCCTCAAAGGTCCAACAAGAGCAATCACCTTTTTTCCTTCTTCAATATTTCATAGTTTTTCTGTGAATTTAGCTTTAGGTTAAAGTTTCAGAGCAAAGTTTCTGTTTGATAAAGCTTCTTGTCCTCCATATTTATTGACCAGGTCAAGTTTGTGCACAGATCGATGATCCCCAATAAAGCAGATTAATATCAAGCTAAATGAATGCGCTCCTACTTGTGGCAAGAAAACCAACCAATTAAACTCTTAAAGAAGAGCGGTAATACCGTATATCTTGCCAGATTTATAGATTGTCATTCAAGACATGTTACTCTCTGCAGCCCAGATATCAAACCATTATTTTTTATCCAATGTCTTTACCCAGAGAATTCACCAGTGTAGTTTTGGCAACAGTTTAAATGCCTCCTTCTGCTGTTGCCAACACTGCGTGTGATGTCATACAACATAATGAATAAATGAACTAGATGGTGGAGCTCTTGAAGTAGATGCTAGACAGGAAGTGGTCATGTAACATTTATTATCACCATAACATGACAGTGTGAGCGTACAGCAATATTTGAGTGGTAGAACAACACCTTACCAATACACAACAAACCTTAAAGATAAATACAACCAGTTTGAAGCTACAGAGGAGACGGCTTACACTGCTTCATCATCATCATCGGTAGGTAGCTGGAGGATCATGGGCAGGTCAAACACTGTCATTTACGATACCTAATGGTGCATTTACATTGTGCTTCAGTGGAAGCCCTCAGTGCCCTCAACTTGGGCTTCTTTTGTTCACAAATGCTTAACACGAGTACTTTGCCATAAGACATGATGCAGGAACCACCAGCCGCACATTTCAGCTTAAATAATCAATGCAATCAGAAACATCTCAGCACAGTACAGCAGGCAGGAAACCCAAACAGACTTTCCATCTGCAGATGACGGAGAACAGGGTTCACCCCCACACCTGCAGCAAAGACATGGTCAAATAGGTCCTTCCAATGAAAACATGCATTCAAACATTCACAAAGCAGCAAAACCTGCAACGTTTCCTTAAAGTAGAAAATGCAGCAGAGAACAACCAATAACACCTGGGGAAGAAATACCACAATGTCGCACTAATTTGACACCACCGGAGGAAAAGTTGGTAATAATGACATTATCTCCTCGTTTCAGATGGGGGAAAAAAATTATTTGAAGCATTTATGTGCATTTTACCAAACTAAATAAGCTTCTTATGGATATTCATATAATAGTTAAGTCTGGGTAAATACAGATATGAATATAAAGTAATGAGACAGAAAAACACTGAATTTTCTGTTTCTGAGTTTAAATTTTTGTAAATTTGATGAAAGAATTTTTGTTTTGTGCATCAATCTAAGGTTAGTTAACTTTATTGAGATGTATCAAACATCCATATGGATTATTAATTCCTTTTTAGGCAACCTAGAATAAAACAGGGTGAAAGCATGATCAGATGAGTCTGTAAACATATTTCTGAAACAGGAAGATTTTCTGCTTTCTCTAAATTTCTTGGCACCAGAGTAAAAAGCCTTCAGCAAATGTTCTCACCAGTCAAACCTTACATTTGAAAACAAGATGCTGTTTTTTTTAACATGGTGCTTTTCCTTATTTTGGAAGATCAACACCCATCTATTGAGGCGGTGGTTCCCAAACTCCCTTTGGTTTACAAGAAATTAAGTAAACTTCTTCTACTTCCTGATTATACCAGTAAGTAGAAAACACTTTACATCTGTTGCAGGGAACTTACTGATTCCCTGTTGCTATATTTTCCCTTTTACTGGAAGAAAAAAACTCAAATTAAAAACATTGTGCCAGTAGATGTCATGTATGTTTACCAAGAGCACCAATGATTGTGGAACAAACGGTAAGACAATTTTTCGATCTGAAGTCAGGTTTAAAAAGCCAAATCTGATGTCGAGGAGGATTAATTTATAGCTCCAGATTTTGTCATAAATGCAGATGTTTAAGAGTAAAAGATATTTTACAGTCTATCCAGGTTTAAACAATGGTTAAATAACTGTGCTTTGAATGTTAGCGGCGGTGACTGACACTAAAGCTCCATTAATGGAAATTATCCCACACCAACGCTTTTTTAAACATGTTTTCTACTGTTTTACAGGACTGGGAAGTCTAAAGTCAGGGTTTGTTTCATTTCTAAACAATGTGTCACATTTTGAAACGTTCAATCATATTCAATGAATATCTGTTGAAATAAAACTATAAATACACATTACTGTTCATGTTTGAGCTGTTTGGGAACAAACATAGGAGTGCTTCTATCACTTTAACAGGAGATACGAGTCTAAACCTTTCAGAGGACATTTTATTTATTCTCTAAGCTATTCTTATTAAATGACATGTTCCCAGTTTACATCCACTAATACATAATTTACCACATTGTGGAAGCACCACTGTCTAATCTAAACAGGTGTTCTGTCAGAACAGCATACGCTATCAGAAAGGCATACGCTCAGTTTTTCTCACTTAAATGAATTCTATCATAATATAAACCACACCCAATGTTTTCTATCATTTTAAACATGAAAACAAAATCTAACCAATTTTAAATTAACCATACGTTTTTTTTTTTACTACTAAAGTAACTTATTTTATAATAATGTTGACTAATATGGTTATAAATATAGATGCTTCTTCTCAACATCCCGGAAACTTCAATCATGTCATAGCAGTATAATCAATGGTGATTTTCTTTTTTAAAAGTTAAAATAAATGTGTTTTTGCTGGTCGGTACACTGCTGCTAAAATTCAGTGGGATCAGTTGCCCATGTGCGCGCATGTGTATTAGAACAAAGTATGCCGATCTGACAGGGTATGCTGTTCTGACAGGACACCAGCAGTAAAGGCGTTACATCCTATCACTAAATAATGAATACGGAGCTAAGTCATCACCAGATGTGGTTCAGATGAATGATTCCCGAAACAGTTAGGGTTTTTACCCCACAGGATCAATCCTCAAACTTTATCCAAAGTAGGAATTAAGATCCTTGTTGCCAACAAGTGAGGGATTATGTTTGATAAGTGAACAATGTTTTTCATCCATTACTGCCTTCAATGCAGGAGGCCGATGAGTCCTCCAAGGTAAAGCAGAGCGGCCTTACAGCAGTTGTGATGAACTCCTCCCGTCGAGTCGTCCTTTCTTTTCTTAGGCTCATCTTAAAAATCGAAGCATATTTGCCGCTTCAGCCCAGACCACTTCATATCTGTTATAAGCGGGAAGGATTTTAAAACTTTAAACAACACAGCAACTGTTGTTGCCTGTTGGTAAAACCGCCGTGTGTGGCTCTTATTGCAGAGCGCCATGCTAAACGCATGCCTTCATGCTAGCGAGCCGCCATGGCTACACAAGGCCAGACTGCATGTGGACGTGCAGTGGGTACGGGTGGTAGACGAGTGAGGGCTGGGCCTGAGGGATGTAGTAGCTGTTGTAAATTGGCTCTGCGATATATGGAGCCGGCTGATAGAAGCAGGTGACGTTTGCCGTGTTGGGGATGGCGTTCTGCTCGCCTAGAACCCTCAGAGCGAGGACCGTGATCATGTTGAGGGTCTGCCTCCTCTCGTGTCCCATCAAACACACGGTGCTCTCGTCTATAACGCGGCGTAGGGTCATCAGATAATCGTACTTGCTCGCTTCCTCACTGCCAACGAAATGGCACTGGAGGTAGGCCTCGATCTTTCTCTGCTGCTCACCTACGTCTGGGAAGTCGATGAAGAAGCGGGAGCACATGTAACGCTCCAAGGACTTGATCTCAGTCTCACTGGCGGGTCTGAAGTTCCTAACAAGCAGGTCACTGTACTTCAGCAGACCTCCTCCACGGATCTCCTCTGGGTTGTGGGTTGCGATGAGGCGATTGCGAAGGTGGTCCATTGCCTGCTCGAAATCTCCGTACATGCACTCTGCTTCAACGGCGATGATGGACTCACCTCCTGCACATGGACTGTTTGGAAAAGTTTCAACCGGCTCGGTTCTTTGATCAGTAACCCGAGACATTAAAACTGGGTTCATTTGAGTCTTTAAATCAGGAGGCTTCTTGGAGTGTTTTGGCTTCACGGTTTGTTCTACAGGGCCACAAGAACTGACAGCTTCCTGAGGAATAGATTCTGGACAGTATGGAGGATCCGTAGGAACGTCTGTACCCTTCAGTTGTTCTAACTCAGGACATAAACGATTGGAGCCACCAAGTTGGACAGTGTCCGGTGCCAGGGCCCTTGGCTGAAGAGGTTTCACCACCTCTATTGGAGGAAAGAACTGTGTGGTGAGATCCGACACGTCCGTCAGGAGGGACCACTTTTCCGGCTGGCTCAGCAGCTTTCGCGACATTTTCCTTTGCAGCCTTGGAGACGGGTAGAAGTTTGGCACAATGTCCTGCGATGTGCTGCAGGTTTTCTTAGCTGGGGGAGGAAAGGAGTATTCATGGTGGGGATCTTGAAGATTAGGAGGCGGCTCAGTCTTGCAGGTTTCGATGTGTATTTCTAACGTTTTTGTTTTTTCAAAGATTGCAATTTCTTGTGAAGCTGATTGTTCAGTGTTTGCTGCACACGCCTCTTCCGTATTCTGTATTCTTGAACATGAATGTGTAATCAGCTGATCCCTGGTGCTGGGGAATAAGGTTTCCGTTGAGGCGTCAGGAGGATATTCACCATCAAAGAGTTTTTTCTGTTCTGCTTTTTCCTCACAGAGCTCAAACCCCTCTGACATGTCTTCCTCTGATTGAACGCCCACAATGCCACCCTCGTCTTCCTCCTCCTTAGGTGAGGTATTCTCCTCAGGTCCTTCCGCCTCCAGCTTTTCAACTACATGCTCAGCCTCTTTTTCTGGAAGCTCGTATGTGGAAGCAGCTTCTTCTGGGGATGGAGGATCTGTAGTTGTTACCGGTGCTCCATCTCTTTGAGGATCTGCTTTAGCATCTTGAGGAAGCGCCGATTCCTCTTGTATCTCATCTTCTCTGCCGTGGTCTCGCTTAGATGAATCTCTGGCATTCAGAGCCAGTTTTTCTTCTTCTCTCCTGTCGCTCCCCCAGTAAGACTCCAGCATACGATCCAGTATTATCTGAAAGGAGTCTACACTGAATTCAAACTGCCTCCGGAGGGAGCTAACGAACCTGAGCCCCACGGTTTTAGATCGGTTGTTTGAGAGTAAAATCAGGCTCCATCTGTCGTGCTCATTGAACACTTTCACCATCTTTTGCACATATGCTTCCTTCATAGTGAGGCAGGTTATCTTCTGCCTGTTAACCCCGCAAGGGAGGAGATCTCGCAGGCTGCCCAGCACCACCTCCTTAATCACCTGGAAGTCCTCCTGCCTTGGCAGCTCTACTCCAAATATGATGTCCAAGTCTCTGTAGCCTAGGCCGTTATCTCTCACCAGGATGTGGCTGGCAGTCGCTCCGTTCAGGCGAATGTCTTTAACCTGGATGTGCCTCTCCATCAGTCGATCCTTAACCACGCGGATGATGTCTTTGGCTCTCACCTGCAGCGTAGGGAAATTTCCTCGCCCGTGGATTGGGATCACCTCGGTGAGAACTTTATCGAGAGCCTGGACCTGCTCTAGGGTCAGATTGTGGAACCTCTTTTCGGTTTTATGCTCCATAGCCCTCACCTGTAAGAAAGGACACACATAATTTTCATCACACTTCGACCATCTGATGAAAATGGTTTGAATATAGAAAATGTGTCCAAATAAGCTCTGTTTAGACGTTTTCCTCCTAATATGATCCCACTGGAATTCACGGGCAATTTTTTTGATTGTTTGAATAAAATGGCAGGGTATAACTTCTTTAAAGCAAAATTTCATCAGAAAGCTACATTCTTTTCATTTTTAAAGCCTTTTTATTTCATTTTTTCTTCTTCCTATTTCAGAACTATTAGCAATCAGCTCCCTATAGAAACCTAATCAGTCCTGACATTATTTGTTAACATGCTCTTATAGTAATCCATCTTTTATTGCAGTCAAATAATTTCAAATTGAAAAGTTTTATCTTTACTTTAATCTCAGAGTTCTAAGATTAAAGTCAGATCTCACACTTTTTTCCCATATTAAACTCAAATTAAATAAATAAGTTAACTTTCTTTTTCCTTTTTTCAAGTGCCCCTAATCCTCTTCCTTAAATCGATCGTGATAATGCATGATTTAAAGAAATAAACTATAGTAGAAGTGTTTTAAGGCAAGAATGCTTATAATCAGAACCACAGAAGCTACAGAGGTGGAGTCGGCTGGATCCTGAATCAACAGAATCTGGGTTAATATCTTCAAATCAATGAAATCAGCAAATATGCGTTCAAGATTTAAGATCTGACCAAGAGCTGAGAAATGAATTTGAATTTGGTTTCTGTTCCAGTTTATTATTTATAGGGGAAAAATTGAGGCTTGAATTAAGCTTCTCTTGGTTTAGCAATCACCTTTAGGGAACTGTAGTGGGGAAAAAGTATTCAACTATTCACCCCAGTTAAATAAACCGAGATCAACGGATTTCACTCAGTCGGCACTTTATTTTCATATGTTTGCAAAGAAAACAGTTCATCATACAGCCCTTACTGCTCTATATTCAGCCCCGTTCTGCCTGGGCAGAGTACGGTACCCTTACTTACAACAATGGAGAGTAATCAGAGCCTAAATAAATTACAGACACTTTGGTTAACAGTAACATGTTAGGAATAATCCTTGATAAAGAATCTAGTTTGTTTTGGGAAGAAGCTGTGTCTGGTCTGTAGATACCCTCATGCAGGAGAATTGTGAGGCCTTGCAGTTGAAACAGACTGAGTGAAAACTTTTATAGTGAGTAAATAGGATAAATTAATATATGAAATAAGGGAAATCTAAATTTTCTGACCACAGGAACTCAGTTATGTTGATTTAGACATTTTTGTAGAGAAAACTGTTTTTTTCAACTTGACATTTTAATTTGAGATCAACTGATAGAGGTTTTTTAGACTGATACTGACTATTTTGATATCAGTCTAATTGATCCCTGACTGGTTAGATCATTTTGATTAATATTAGGAGCTGATATTGCTTTTGTTTGCTCCATTCAAATCATACAAATGAGACAGAGATGACAAAAGTATAAATTGAAACAAAAAAATGTATTTATCAACACTTCAAACAAAACATTAACAGGGATATTAAACTGCGAGAGTGGCAATGCATTCGCTCCACGTGATTTTAATTTCTGGCTGCAGAAACGCTGATTAATCGGCCAAAGAAGGCAGATATCGGCCGATACCCATATAAGAAAGAAAATTAATCATAGCATCCAGCCGATGTGTCAGTCTCTCTAAATTTAATTGGTATTAACCATAAGAAAATGAACCATAAGAGAGTGACAGTATAAAGAGAGAAATGACATCAACATGCAAACATTTAATATAACAAACACAGAATTTTTTCAGGGTGTTTTGTTAAAGAAAAGCTGCTCAGCCTATTTAATGCAGATATTATACAGAACTATAGATCATCGATTTAGACAATCTATAAATATGACTGTATATTCATCAGCAATATAATCATGATTAATCATAAACACCGGATGATTGGACAGGAAATGCTACTTTATGGCATCACTTCAAAGCATGCAGGTGAAACCAGTGTGCCGCTCTTTGCTTTGGAGATTTTAATCATCCTGCTGATTGTGATGCTGACCAGATAAATAAGGATCCTCCTTCAGCCAGCTGCAAAAATAAAAGCTTATATTCATACACAGTAATCAGGGGCGGAGCTAGATGGGGGGCCAGGGGTGACCCTTAGCCAATCATTGGCCACCCCTCTGGCCACCCCTACCATTGTTTTCCCCCTAATAAATATTAAAAACATTTTAATTGTTCATATATTGCTTACTATTTTTTCATATATTCATAGTTACTTGATAACAAAAACGCTGTGGTTAATTATGAACATCAATATACTAACATTAAAGATGGTAAGTACAGAAGTCCTGCTCTTTTCAGAACTAGATTTTGCATTTTATGGGGTAAAGAGAAAATGATGTGTCTCTGCATTCATCTAGGAGTCTTTACTGAAATCATAGATAACTATTTTAATAAAAACTTATTAAATAATCAATTTATGTAGATATTAGTACTTGTAAATATCAATTTTATGTAGGATGATTGTTGATAAAAGTAGGTAAGTATTGACAATGGAAAAGATGTTCGCCCCAGAACTCAAAACGGAAATTTTATCCACGTTACCGTTTATCTAAAAAGCATGGATGTTTAAATATCTGCATCTATTTGTTAGCAAAGGCTGTAGGAAAGTATAGTTTGTCTTTATTTAGAAAATATGGATGTTTTGCTCCTTCATTTTCCTATTGGAACAGTTTAGATTGACCCTGAGATTCTGGTGCTTATCCATTTTCGGCCCCCCCTAAGTGTACATTGATTATTGCTTTATAAAAAATTTCTGGCTGCGCCTCTGACTGGGATGACAGGAAGTTGTGGATTACTAATCCAAAGGGATATTTCTCAAAACAAACAACAAACGAAATATTAGATTTTTTCCTCTTTTAAAGTGATTGTTAAAAGATTCTATGTTTGAATTTATCTGGATTTATTAGTGAGTGAAAAAAAAGGAGACATCCACATATTCAGGCATTTTACACATCTATAGTTATTCTACAAGACAAAACAAGTTGCATCCAGGGGCGGAGCTAGATGGGGGGCCAGGGGTGGCCATGACCACCCTTAGCCAATCATTGGCCACCCTTGGGGCCACCCTTACCATTTTTCCCTTTAATACAGATAGTGGCCGCAGTAATACTCTGAAGGGGAATGTTCAAACTTATTAAACATTTACATTTTTCATATATTAACAACTACTTGACAACAGAAACACTGTGGTTAATTATGCACTTTAATATACAAACATTAAAGATGATAAGCACAGAATTCATGCTCTTTCCAGAACTTAATTTTGAATTATTTGTGTTAAAGATAAAATGATGTGCCTCTGCATGTCATCTATGAGTCTTCCATGAAATCATAGATAAATAACTACTTTAACAATAACATAAAAATTAATTAAATGTGAATATTAGTAGATGTTGTGCTCATTGATGTTGGATGTTGTGCTCATTCCTGTTGAAAGAGTGTAGATTGACCATGAGGTTCTGGTGCCTCTCGGCTAGGGTGGCCAGATGTCCGGCTTTAGGGCGGACAGTCTGGATTTTCATTGCGCTGTCTGGACGCCGGACAGCGCAATGCATTCTGACTTTAATCTCAGAATTCTGACTTTTTTCTCAGCATTCTGACGTTAATCTCAGAATTCTGACTGAATTCTGACAATAAAAAAGTCTGAATTCTGAGATTATAGTCAGAATGCTGAGAAAAAAAATCTGACTTTTTTCTAAGAATTCTGACTTTTTTTCCATACTAAACTGAAATAAAATTTAAAAATCTGTTAACTTTTTTTTTTCCACTGGCCCTAATCCTCTTCCGTAAAATACAAATGCTGGGAACCAATTCTTTTTTTTATATTTCTTTAATATTTTGTTCTATTCAGCTACACAAGCATCCTCTTTAAACTACTAAGAATTGTACTATAAATGTGACTTTACCTGATTCTTATGTACACCTTAGTAATTTATTGATATGCCGCGCAATGTCCTCCTTTTTGGTGCTATAGAAATGGCCACCCTACTTTTGGCCCCTATTAGGATTTTCTGGCTACGCCTCTGGTTGCATCGAAGAAACATAGATTGAGTTTTAGATGACCTAGGATTGTCTGTTTGCTCAGTCAGACAGGGATTGTTTTTTTTTCCTGTCAGTGGCAGGTTATCCACCCGGGGCGCAGGGACTGGGGGCCCACAGCAGCCTCTAGTGAATCTCAGGAGTTACATCCTGCAGCAGGACTGCTCCTCTGCCGCTTGGCTTCTTTATAGATAAGACTCTATGAGTCATACAGCCGCTGAACAAAGCGTCACTCATTGGCTCTCCTGGATTATTTCCATGTGCGCAAAAACTACCCGAAATGCGCCACTTTGACGTGGCATCAGAGCCATCCGCCCGTAAACTTGACATGCGAGCTGTTGCATTGGTGTAATCTACCTGCAGATGGAGTCTGCTTGCAGGGGTCACTTTTATTCCCCCGTGTTAAACATGTTTATAATGATCTGAATCCAAACGTTAATTATCTAATCCAAATGCATTTGTTGTTTTTAACTCAAAGTTTAAGAAAAAAAAAAGCTTTAATTGCGTTTATCCAAAATGACAGACATTAAAAACTCACCTGGTTGGTTGTCAAATATCAGCAAAAAAAAAAAAAAAAAGTAAAATATTAAAGAAAAATGAATATCCAACAGGTTTACTCGACCTTGTTGGGAGGTTGAAGATGAAGTTAAAACGGACAGTTTCCTCTCAGCGCAGCAGTGTTGTTGCCATGGCAATTAGCCGTCACGAAATCCACGGTGAATCACGACTCCGCGGGTCAGTGGAACTACCGGGAGATCAAAAAAAAAAAAAAAACAAGTTTGAGGAAAAGCCCGAAAAGGCCTCAGGAAAAAAGGGGGGTAAATTTTAGAGTTTGATAAAGTTTGGAGCTGAGCGGACACGTCGGGATGAACCGCCGCCGCACTGCCGAGCTGTTGCGGGGTGAAGCTCACATCAGACGGAGTGAGTCATCCTCCCTCTCCTCCCGGTTCTGACCAGGAGGAGCTCCCTCCGCCGTCCGCCGCCTTTCTAACTCCTTCACACCCACAGACACCAAAACTCTCCTCCCAATCTGCTTCTTCTCCTTTTTATTTATTTGTTTCAATTTATTTTTCATTCACGTTTTGAGCGAAAGGGGCGAAGCCAAGTAGCTGTGACGTTTGAATGGAACACCGATACCACGTGACGATGACGTAGACGAAACCAGGAAGTGCGGAAGAGGGCGAAGCGACCGAAACAGAAGCTCAAGTCTCAACAACTTTTTTTCTTTTCTTTAGCCGTTTTGGTGTCAGAAGAAGCAGCAGCTGAAGATGCCGAGCATGGAGAGTATCCTTCAGAGCGGTGGGAAGGCGGGAGGGCTGCGGGGAACCGAGGGGGAAGGCTGGGGCTTAAACCTGCCAGAGCAACACGGTAGCCTCCAAACGAGGACATTTATCAGTCACAGATGTTTGAAACGTTACTGCCTGCGTTAGAAAGCGATGGAAGGTTGACCGGTTGTTCTGTTTAAAAGGTTAAACATTGATGAAACTCTTCAGGGGTCTTTCATCTTTGCCTGAGATGCGTTCAAGGCCTCAGAGCTAACATCGGTAAACAGAACAACGACTGAATCATTTGGTTTCTGCGATACTTTCTCCTAAAAAAAAGTTATGTGATCAACTGACACCACTTTTAGTCTCCTAAGATGTTTTTTTAAGCCATCTTTTCTGGGAAATCAGTGTAAAGGTGTTTAAACTATATGTTTACCATAACTAGGCTAAAAGTAAACACTGTGTCTTCATTTGTCAGCTAATAACTCGCACATAGCTTGGATATAAATACTACCCAGTTACCATCCAGTTATTCTGATATTATTTAGCTGATATTTAAAGTTTTTCAGGATAAATGTCTGGATCCTTCTTTACTTTTACTCTTTTATTCTGATCGTTATTAATCAATAATAATAAATAGATCGGCTGTTTTGTCCAACTATTTGTTTATCGCCTAATCAGTGCTCTTTGTGGACAGACTACGTACGTCATGCTGTGACCGTACTCAGAGCTGAATGACGTCATAATGGATGGTATAGGGAAAAAAATTGAAAGTTGGGGGATTTTCAAATATTTCTTAATAGTAAATCAGAAATGTTCCCATAAAATTCTGATTTCAGTCTGATCTCTGAATGAAATAATAATAATTAATGAAAATATAGAAAATTTTCAAACATCGTGGATATGCTGGTGAGGATTCTCAGTCATCCAGGTCATAGTCATTCTAAAAATATTTCAAATGCAATCCACTGGACTTTGTTTCCAAGTTTGAAGACGTTTCGCTTCCCATCCAGGAAGCTTTTTCAATTCAAAATGTCAGAATTAGCGTTGAGTTCGAGGCTTTATAGAGTGGACCAAACGCCATACAGGGGACCAAAACACCCTGTCTGTTCAGCCAGGCCAACAATTCCCCCTAACAACTAGCCTGTCGTAGTCCTACTCAATTCTAGTCAGAATATGAGTCTGATACTGCTCCATAGAGCTGTGATTATGGGGCGTGTTTCGATCGAACCAGAAAAAAAAATGCCTCTGCACTCAATTGGATAGAGCTACAACCAATAAGAGCAACGGAGTGCGTGACGTATGTTAAGCCACGCATAGTTGTTGTCAACAAAAATCAAAGCCTTGATGATGAGCCTTGATCACATTTCTCTGTTCCTCTTTTAAAATTAAATTGCTGTCGATATCTTCTAGAACAGACCTAATAGCAGAATCTACTCACCTCAACTCTCCGGCAGCAGCCATTGTTGTGGTCACCCAAGCGCGCTTTGGTCACTGTGGTTGATCACGTTACTGATCATCTGTCCATCATCGTATAAAGCCCGCCCTGACAATTTGATTGGATCGCCAGAGAGTGGGCGATCATACTCACGCTACTATGGAGCAATACCAGACCGAACTTCCCGACCTCAAACCTTGTGGGCGGGATTAAGTTCGGAATGGCACCCAGGCTACCTAACAACCCCCTTCAGAGACATAGACAGGTTTTGGTTATTGTAGGCTAACAAAGAAATCAAATGACCCCCATTCCGAAGGGGCGGACCCGTTCATCTGGTTCAATTTGCATGTTTCTAAGCCAAAACAAGCCTTTGTTTTGGTCCACTCTATAGATCCTCGAACTCAACGTTCTTTCTGACATTTTAAATTGAAAAAGCTTCCTTGATGGGAACTGAAACTTCTTCAAACTTGGAAACAAAGTCCAATGGATTGTTTTTTAACTTTTTTTTGGAATATCATGGCTGTACAATTCTATCTATACATGCAGTACCCTATAATATCCGGGAATGTCACCATAACAACATGACTTATTTAAAAAAGACAAGGATTGAACTTTTTCTTTCTACTTTGTGATCACAAATAAAATAGATCTCAGGATATGACTCTTCTCTATAGCTACCTCGAAACATTTTAATCTCATAATTTTTTATTTAGTCAACAAGATTTTTTTCTTAGAAAACATTCCTTCTGGTTTAGTTTCACCTTCTTACTCTATCAGAGATTTTATAAATTAAACAATGCGATCCACTCAATTTAAAGAAACAGCTTAGAAAACCTAAAGGCGCTGAAATGCAATGATTAGCTAACTAATCAATGAAAAATATAAAATGAAGATTAAAAATCTATATAATACGTATGTATACATGTATATATAATTACATGTATACATACGTTCATTTTTAATGGTTTCCTCATCATCATTTAAAGACAACAAATAGGTTTGTTTTGTTTTTTTGATATAAATTTTTATTTCCTATAAATATTTTGCCTCCATCAGAAACTATTGTACATGTTCAGCTGCATAAATAACAGGAAGAAAAATGTAAAGTGGTTCTTTGATAGATTTTCACGTTAATTTATTTACTCTACAGAATCCAGCCTGAAAAATCTTTCTGCTTTGATTAACCAATCAAAGCATTGGTGCTGATTGGACGTTTTAATGATGTCATATTAAAGTAAGCGTTTATTACCGCAGGTTTGCTGCTATAAATTAAATAATAATAATATAGTGCATGCTCTCCTGGAGCTCAAAGGAAGTTGTAGCAGAGCGAGAAGGGAGGAACCATAGGCTGCAGGCAGTCTGAAACGGAGGGGGGCGGATACCGAGGATGTGGGATGTCGGGGTCAGGGAAATGCAGTTAAATTTAGAAATAATGATTAATAGTTCAAGATCCAGAATAAAAAAACCTGAATAATATCTGATTTCATGAGAGGTGAGACTAGAACAGGGCTGGGTATAAAGTCTGGATGTTGGTGTTCAGTGAAGAGGACCTCGAGCTGCCGAGGCGTTTACATGTAACTGTTAAGTTGATGGATGCGTGGGTAAGCATCCTTATTAATGCTGATATCAGTGACAGCACTGCTGGGAAAGAAGGCTATGAATTTGATTGATTGGTCGGTGATTGATTGATTAAATTATTGACTTAAAATTCAAGCTGATTTAATCTAAGCTTAGCAGAGAAATGGTATTCAGGTTTTAGAGCTGTCGTTCATGTTGTAGCATCGAGAATGAAGTTAAATCCAGTTATATCCCTCAGTGACATCTATCTGATCGGGTGGATATTTGATGTCCAGTCCCTGCTTTAAGTGGCCCGCTGCTCTTAATGCCACGACTGTAGACAGATGTTGTCCCTTTAATCAGCCTGGCCCTTTAGAGGAGGATTATAAAGAATATTATCTCTGTTTTTGTTGTTCTGTATCTTCCTATTTTCTTCCTATAACCTGGTGATGAATGAAGATAATAACTTTTATCCTGACAAAAGGGGAACTCTGCTTAAACTAATATGATTCCTGAAAGAGATGAAACTAATCATTAGCATCTATATCTGATAGCATCATAGTATTGGTTGGAAAATGGAGCAATATCCACATATAGGGTTTAAACCTGAACATCATCCTGCTTTGCTTTCTGGTAGTTCTGTGGTTCTACCAGTAGATGGCGCCACATCTGTTCATGTCTGCTTAGACCTGGAATTACACTTAGGCTCCAAAAGGGTCTGAACACCATCAGGACAGACGCTTGGTGAATAAAACAGGATTTAATCAGGATCAGGTGGTTTTTGGTCTTTTTGTAGAGGAATATAACAGGACAACAAAACATTAAATGTTGCAGTGACTCATAGGTTATTTTTTTTAAACAAGTATCTACTGTAGAGGTCTGTCTTGCTCTGAATCTGCAGAAGCCTCTGACTGAAGACACTCTCTTGTTGTTTAACAATCTGATGAAGAGAATGCTCACTATTGTCCACAACTTTCTTCTCTTATTGAATAATTCTTCTTTGTGAAATAATCTACAGAGGTTCTAGAGGAGTTACTCATTTGAGTTTCACAGTCTTTTATTAAATCTCTGTCTGCTGGTATGGTCAGAAAGTCTAGCAGAGTTACGCTTGGGTTCTTTGAGGCTCAAATTTCTTCTTCCTCTCACTTCTCTTTGCTCCCGCTCTGCATCCCTGGTGTTTCATTTTCAACTCAGCTGGTACTTGCGGAGATAATTGAAGTATTGTTTCAGCTTTAGAGATGGTAAAGAGCTGCTCCTGGGTGTAAAAAAAAAAAAATCAACTTGCTATGGTTGCTGTGGTTACGCACCATAACATGTATCCAAAAAGTTTCACAGTATTCATCAACAGAGGCGAAAAACATCAGAAAAAAGAAACTCTGATCCAAAAATTGAGCAATCAAACTTCTCTTAAAAAGAATAACAAGGCAAGCTAGCAGAGCTACTCCAACCTGCAGCCACTTTAAGCAACACTATTCTAAAATATGCCTTTGACTGAGAATACTGTTTTTCTTCTGAAGCTGTTTAAGTTTGCATCGGCCTCCTCTGCAGATTAAACTGTTTATGCTCATGTATGATCCGTTCAGGTTTTAGTTGTTGATGGTTTTATATATTCTGCAAAAATGACACAAAGAAAGGCTTGAAGCACGTCAGCATAAACAGGAGGGCTGCACCCGTCAATGAAGCTAGTATAAACTTTATGCATTTGAAATAAATTGCTAGAAGAAAAACATATAGAAAATATAAAACACAAACTTACTTTTAATTATTGATATATAAACCCATTTATGAGTGTTTTTCATGTTCAGGGTGGAGACGATGCTCGACTGAGGGGTTTGGTTCCTTTGCTTCTTGTTGTTCCTCCTTAACTTCTCCTCTCAGAAAATCTCTTCAATCTAAAGTTTGCAGCCAAAGAGCTCCAGAGAAACGCAAAGAAATGTGACAAAGAGGAAAAAGTTGAGAAGGCCAAAGTGAAGAAGGTAGGTGGCGTTTGTCCCGCTGCGCCGGCCGTGGATGTCAGAGGATTTCACCGAAGCTCTCCTTTGTCTGCAGGCCATCCAGAAGGGGAACATGGAGGTGGCCCGGATCCACGCGGAGAACGCCATCAGACAGAAGAACCAGTCGGTGAACTTCCTGAGGATGAGCGCTCGGGTTGACGCGGTGGCGGCGAGGGTCCAAACGGCGGTCACCATGAACCAGGTACGGCGTGTTTTGACCTCCTGTCAGTGGCTGATCCACCTGCGGCTTTTAATGGCTTCCCTCTCATAGGTCACTAAATCCATGGCTGGAGTGGTGAAAGGCATGGACGCCACCCTGAAGAGCATGAACCTGGAGAAGGTATGGGGCGGGGCGGGGGGCGTGTTTTCACCTTTGGACAGGTCGTCAGGCTTTAAAGCGTCCCGCTTCTCTTCCTTTAGATCTCAGCTCTCATGGACAAATTCGAGCATCAGTTTGAAACTCTGGACGTTCAGACGGCCCAGATGGAGGACACCATGAGCAGCACCACCACGCTCACCACGCCTCAGGTGACTTCCTCTTCTCAGCTCCTTCTGCTGCTCCGTTTCAGAACCATTTGCTTCAATCCAACCTGTTCCATGTGTGTTTCAGAACCAAGTGGATTCGTTGCTGCATGAGATGGCAGATGAAGCAGGGTAACCTTCCTCTTTCCAGTCCTTAACCCCCACAGATCAGTGTTTAATGGTCAAGCTTTAAACGTTCAGTTGAGGAAATCTGGACGGGAAGTTTTCCAGAAGACGTTTCTCCTCTCATCCAAGAGGCTCTTTAGTTGGATAAAAGGCGAAACATCTTCTTGAAAACTTTCCGTCCAGTTGACTAAACTGAACGTTTGAAAGAATGAAAGATAGTTTATTGGCCTGTAAGTTAAGTGTTTTGGTCAGTCTAATGGGTTAAATGGTTAATATTTGGTTTCTGTTCAGTTTGGACCTGAACATGGAGCTCCCCCAAGGACAGACCGGATCAGTGGGTACCAGCGTAGCCTCTGCAGAACAGGTACCGCTGCATGACTGCTTTAAAAAAAAAAAACCTTTATTCTCCTGAACATGGAGCCAAATTAAAGCCGCTCTCTCTTCTGTTCTTAGGACGAACTCTCCCATAGGCTCGCCAAGCTCCGAGACCAGATGTAAAGAATCTGTGCTGTGGAGCAGAACCGGAACCCAGAGCTCTACTGATACACACTACCTGAATATAAACATGTTTTCCCTCTTTGTTTTTTTACATATTCTGTGTGGTGAGCAGCGACTGTCATGAATAATCTCCTCCTAAAGCTAACGGCTCCTCTCGGTGTTTCATTTCCAGCTTTATAATGTTTACTAAATTAGAAACTGAAATCAGAAAGGTTTTAATAGAATAAAAGGTTTGATTCTGGAGGAAAAGGAATATTTATAAACCCTTCAAATATAATCCCAACAGGAAAAAGGAGATTTATGAGTTTTTATTTATCTTTCATTTTCAGAAATGCTCTCCAGGTTTTGTATAAAAGTGGGACGTGTTTCGCGTTGATCTTTACCCCTTCCATTGATGAACTGACCTCTTTTCTGATTGATTGTTTTCTTTGTGGTGAAGGAGGTCCTGGGAGGTTTCGTCGCCTTTCAAGGGTTTCCTCTCATTGTTTGGGAAGGGTTCAAATTAAGAGAACAAACAATAAAGTTTTATAATACTCAGATAAACTATGTCTGCCTCTTTTTTTAAAAGCGATCCACTTTTGGAAGGAAAAATCCCGCCAAATACAGAGGAAATACATTTTTAGTTTAAAGCACTATTTTAGAATCAGACTCAGTAGAGGAAGCTTGATACCTACAGAATAAAACCATATTTAAAGAGTGGTTCTGTTATGTTTTTACTTATCTTAAATCTAAACTCTTCTGTTTATAGAAAACTTTCAGACATGTTTCTGATTCCTTTCCTACATCCACACAATGTCAGTTTTTCCCCCTTCCTATTAACATATTAAGTTCAAATATGTTTAGTCTTTTTGTTTTTTTTTGGCTGCAGTCAAACATTTGATCCGTTGATGAGCATCACCTCCATCAGACATGATCTGTCCTGCAGACAGACAAACCAATGCTGGGCCCAGTTCCTCCACTCAGTCCCAGCAAGAAAGTCATCTTTATTTTTTCCTTTAATCTCACGTTGAGTCAGATCCCTCTAATTCTGTCCATACTTCGTTACCCTGCTGTGTTTTAAAAAGTCAGTTTCTTTGTGAATATAAACTCCTGCTGTTTTTGCAAATTATAAAGCTCTTTCATATTCAGCCTCATCCACAAAGTCTAGTTTGTTCTTATTTCCCCTCTTAGTCAGAACTGAAGCTCCTCTTCTATTTTTTCTGTGGATGACTACACTTTCTTTTTATTCATCTATCTCTCTGTTTATTTATTTCTATACTTGTATGTTTTTAAGATATAGATAATAGTGTTTTGCTCATTTGGAGCAATGTATTCAATTGTCTTTTTCCTCCTTACTGGTCAAATAAAGTGCTGCGGTTTGGAAGAGGGAATGGCTCATTTAAAACAACATGCACAAATTAATTATGACCACAGCCGAACCAGATTGCTTTAACTACTTCCTATTGATACGTTTATCTATGATTTAACCAAAAGACCTTCATTAAGTTTACTTTTAAATGAAATCAAGACTTTAATATGAAGATCATGAATGGAGTTTCTGGATTTCTGATGGAAATTAAGAACATTTAAATCTGTGACTTAATAAAGAACATGATAAGGGAAATATTAGTTTACTTCTGTTGTATAAACGATGATGCGAAGGAAAGATGAAGTGTTCCTCCATTTATTGACCTCTTCAACTAAAGGTCTGTCTTTCAAATGAAGGAAAACCGTTTTCAACCAAATCTGAATTTCAGGAATTTACAAAGAGGATCTTCAACAAAATAATATCAAAATATTACTTCCAACTTCAAGAGAATATAACAAGTAAAAGTACATGTACACATAAATAGATAAAATGAACTAATATGTATTTTTAAGTGTCTTTGAATACAGTTTTCTTAACACATTCCCAAAAATACATTTGAATACGTATAGTAATGAGGCTGTTGGTGCAAAAAGAAAAACAAAATGGAAAAAATATAACAAAAAGATCAGCTTATGAGTCATTTTTTTTTTCTATTTAACGTCCAGAAAAAAAGGGATCCAAGCGAATCTCAGTGAAACATTATTTTCTCAAAGTCTTTCATTTAATCTAACAGTACATGAACAACTGATCTTACAGTAATGTCTCAAACAAAAGAAAAGCAAACAAAAGTCCTGCAGTTTACTAAAAAAAGAAACTCAGACCAATAAATAAATCATACAATACAATACATCGACTAAATAATAAGTCTTTTCCTGATGTGTTTGTCTGGTTAAAATCCTCTCCTAGCATTTGAATAAAGTTATTATTAAAATTTTCACCTTAATCTGATCTATAAAACTCATCCACTGTGGACTACAGTCAGCCTGTCAGACGCTACTGAGGGATTACAGTGTTTGGGTCGTCATGTGACGCTGGCGTAAACAGGAAGCAGCTGATTTTTTTCCCCCCTCTCAGTGATGTGTGTTACTGTGTCCTTTAGGAGTAATATCTCTGTGTCTCTGGGCTTCCCTGGACACCAGTAGCCGCTAAGGCCTTTAGAGGTAAGGGTGAAACACGATACCAAACTTTAAACAGCACAGCTTAGCCGTTAACTTTGGTAGCCTAGCATCGTTAGCATGATTAGCATTAGCTAAAGTGAGCAGCCGGAGCCAAACACACAAATTTAATTAACTTAGTCGGTGAGATTATTTAATTTACTTGTTTATAGAGTATAGTTTGTCCGATCTGATGTTTTAACGGTGGGATTGTTTTATTGCGGAAGTAGGAGCGGAGTGAAACTGCTCCGCAGGAGAAACAAACCCAAGTCATCTGACCTGCAGCTCAGAGGAACCTCCAGCATCGTGTCTCCTCAGGGTTATGTCCAGCTCAGCCATGAAGAAAAAGGTGAAGCTGCTTTCCTCACCTCTCATTAGCAGGGCTGTCAACTCTCACCCATTGGGAGTGAGACTCACCCATCTCAGTGTCTTCACTCTCACTCCATATTCCCAATTTCTCACACTAATAATCTCCCTTTGGAAATTAGGAGTAATTAAACCAACACAAAAATTTTTAATTCTTAAAGCTTCCAGGTTTGCCTCTCTATGGAAGCCCGTTTCCGCCACTCTGTAAAAAAAAACAAAAAAAAACTACCTCAATATAATGAGATACTATCTCATTATATTGAGTTACTATATCATTATAATGAGATAGTATCTCATTATAATGAGATACTATCTCATTATATTGAGATAGTATCTCAATATAATGAGATAGTAACTCAATATAATGAGATAGTATCTCATTATAATGAGATAGTATCTCATTATATTGAGTTACTATCTCATTATATTGAGATACTATCTCATTATAATGAGATACTATCTCATTATAATGAGATACTATCTCATTATATTGAGATACTATCTCATTATATTGAGTTACTATCTCATTATATTGAGATACTATCTCATTATAATGAGATACTATCTCATTATAATGAGATACTATCTCATTATATTGAGTTACTATCTCATTATATTGAGATACTATCTCATTATAATGATATAGTAACTCAATATAATGAGATACTATCTCATTATATTGAGTTACTATCTCATTATAATGAGATACTATCTCATTATATTGAGTTACTATCTCATTATATTGAGATAGTTTTTTTTTTTTTTTTTTTTTTTTTTACAGAGTGGCGGAAACGGGCTTCCATACCTCTCAAACCCATAGGAGCCATTGCATTTTATTTTTCAAAAGATCAGCCACTAAATAAAAGACCAACCACATTCAGAGGGGATGTGCAGAACAGCTCACTTATCCTGGATTCATAGAGAAGAAACCACAGGGATTTTTTTCTTTTGTTATTACTTATCTTATTCATTTATCTTTATTTTTGTCCATTGAATATGTTTGAAAACTTAATTTCCATCAAACCTTCCAAACTGAAACATCCAGAGAAGTGCTGTCTTCTATAATGGTGAGATTTTATCAAATCTACAGCCTCCTAGAAGGTCTGAATTGTTTAACCGTTTTGTCAATTGTAAAAAAAAAAAAAAAAAACTAATAAGATAATAACTTAAGATTTTTAATCCTTCGCCTATTACCAAATATTCATACACAGTGTAGTTTGCATAGGTTTCAATTGCACTGGTTCCTGTATCAGTGCCAGTAATGCAGTAATAGCTTATTAGTTCCCCATTATTTACTTGAGCTGCAGAGAATAATTAATGAACAAAGTTGTGAAATTCTTAAAGTATATTTAAGATGCAAGTATTTTAGTTGGGCACATTCTGCTTTACTGCAATTCTCTAAAAAATAACCAGAATGTAGAAAATAATGTATATTGTGAGGAAAACGTTCCACATAATTACAGATCATTACTACTCACTGTGCTATAAAAAGTCCACATTTTGACACTTTGTTTCAGTTAAATCCTCTAAAAACCTCCAACCTATAGCTGCACCTGTCCTCATCTAACCCTGACAAGGTTTCCTGTCCAAACTATTTCAAAATCTCACTCCAAGGTTTGGTGAAAATTTGGCAGCCCTGCTTTAGTTTTACTCTCATCTTTCTTTTCAATATGAAGTCTTTACCTTCTGTTGTTGGCTTCACATAAACACCCAGCTGACATTTAAACAGACCAGACTGCCTCAGCACTTTATGTAAACACTCCATAGACAGTTGGGTTCTCCAGTGTAAATGTCTAATGCTGTTTATCTTCCATAATTTTCTCATAATGATGTTTTCCGGTTTCTAGGTTTTACTGATGGGGAAGAGCGGGTCTGGAAAGACCAGCATGAGGTCCATCATCTTTGCAAATTACATAGCTCGAGACACGCGCCGCCTTGGAGCTACAAGTAAGATAAAACTCAAATTATTTAACACTTAAACATTAGTAGCTGATGTTTTACCAATTGAAATGAAATAAATGTCCTGTTTCCTCCAGTTGATGTGGAGCACTCCCACGTTCGCTTTCTGGGCAACCTGGTCCTAAACCTGTGGGACTGTGGAGGGTAAGGCCTAAAGTCTTGCTGTCCTTTGCAACATTTGACCCCCCCTCCACTGTTAGTTTAAAAACTACATTAATTTCATCCTTTTTTACCCACCAGGCAAGACACCTTCATGGAGAATTATTTTACGAGCCAGAGGGACAACATTTTCCGAAACGTCGAGGTCCTCATTTATGTGTTTGACGTCGAGAGCCGTGAGCTGGAGAAAGACATGCACTACTACCAGTCCTGCCTGGAGGCCATCTTGCAGAACTCCCCCGACGCCAAAGTCTTCTGTCTGGTTCACAAAATGGACCTGGTTCAGGAGGACCAGAGGGATCTGGTGAGCTTTAGACAACGCTTCCAGCTTCTGTTGCGTTGTCGGTACTTTCTGCCAATCTAACAACTGAAGTAAACGTAAAGAAATGGCAGATGTGTCTCTAATCACCACCGTTCTGGTCAAGTTTGTCTTTTATTTGACTTCATCGCACAGCTGAACTTCACCCATTTAGCATTTTTCTTACAGTCAACTGTAACATTGAGTGTTTTTTAGGGAGGTGAAAAACATTAAACCTCTGGAGACAGAATCAGTGAGA